TTTTCAACACCACAACAAACGACAAGACAACACGAGGCAATGGTAGATACACAATTACAAGATATAGCAACTGCAACAAAGCGGAAAGCGGAAGAAGTAGGCAGAGCGATGGCATCAAATTTAAGAGAGATGGGCGGGACACTATTTCATAGAATGGTGACAAACAAACAATCAGCACCAACAGAACCACGTCAAGCGCCAGCAGGTGGAGCAGTAGCAGACGACCAGCAAACAATGCACGTAGAAGATGTTGAACAATCATCTCAAGCAGTAGATGACAATTTTGACGCGACACCAGTTCAACAAGCAACAGGAGCATCAAGTTCAACAACCCAACAACCACCACCATTGCCAATGACGCCATTGTTTAAAACAACAATAGATAATACTATTAGTCCCGCTTACTGGAAAGACAACCCTAATTTAACAGTAAATGATATTAAATTTCAGTTTTATTTAAGAGGAATTCAAGTGCCAGAAGAAAGCGAAATACAAGAAGAATTGAAACAAAAAGGAAGAGGCAAGGCGAGAACATACAAAGAATATTTAGTGGATATGATTTTAGACACTATTGATAATGGCGGATGGATAGCAAATTTAAGCAGAGGTAGAATAGAAGAACTCAAGGCGAGTTTTAAGGGTAAAGGTAAGAAATAAAAAAATAAATAATAATAATAATAATGATAATATTAACTAAAAATATACTGAAAAGAAAGAAGCAGAAGTTCAATGATAATTATGATCACGACGACAGTTTTTCAATACATAACCTAACAAAACCAAACACACCAACAACAATACAACCACCGAAAATGATGAAAAAGGGCATACCGAGAGAATTTATTGACATTGCAACCAATACAGATACAATCGCCACAGAAACCAGAGAGACTCAAGAAAAGTTATACAATGATGCAAATCAGCAATTAAATAAGACATTTGAAGCGTTTAAGGTAAAGGAAAACCAAGACAATATGTTTAAAATAATGCTTAAAAACTTTTGGCACAACACATACAAAAGAAATGAGCCAACAAGAACGCAAGCAACACAAACACTGAAAAACCAACGCGACACAATGGTGTCAGCCTTTACTAAAATGCTCGACAACAACAAACCACCAGAACCACCGCCAAAGAAACCACCAGACGAGGAGGACAGCGACGAAGAAGAAAAAAGATTCAAACTGACAAAAATGATAGAAATAATGCTACACAACGGCGCTACAGTAGCAGATGTAATATTAAACTTATCACATAGCGCAATTGCAACAACAATAAATATCGCAGATTTAGTTAATGAAATAACAGCAGGAAATGCACAAAGTAGCAGTAGCAATTCATCAAATGAAGCTATTAGTGTTCATAGTTCGCCACCTATTACTGTTCATAGTTCTTCATCTGAAAGTCCAACAGAAATACCAGCACCAACTGAAGACGAAGAAGAAGAAGACGGAGAAGAAAAACAAAAATATAATTTTGAAAAATTAAAATCTAAATAATATTATATATAATGGGTTCAAGTAAATCAAAACCAGTAGAAATTGATGATGAAGAGGCTATTAAAGTAATAAAAGATATAGATGTAAATACGATAAGTGAAATGTCAAGAATTGATATTCTACAAATAAATTCATTGAAAGCAATAATAAATAAATTAGAAAAAGTTAATGAATGTAAAAAAGATAAAACATATTATAAATTTCCTGCCTTAAATTTGTGTAGCTATTCTTTATTCTAAATTGATAATATTAACATACATTAATATTATTAATTACTATCATAATCTGTCATTTCACTTTCGGGTAATTTTGTTGAGGCGTTGCTACACATATCATCTATTAAATCTTCTTCATCAACAAAATTATTTTGAAATCTTAATAATTCCTCGTCTGTTGGTCGTCTTTTTAACACTTTATAAAGTTTATGTATCCAAGAATTAGTATGAAAATTGTAATTACCTCTACGATAAAATCCACCACATCTACATAGTTTCATTAGCATATTATTATATTATATTAAATTAGAATATCTTTATTCATCATTTGTAATTTGAAATGCCTGTTCAAAACGGAGAAAAAACATGTCATTCACATTCTTAGCATTCATATTCACGTAGAAGAAACTATAAGGTGCGTCATTCACTGCTTGATGATACATATCTAATAATTGCTGTTTGTCAACAATGGCGCTATTTTCTTCAATAAAACTCATTAATTCACTGGCATTTTTCAACCTAAAAATATATAATGAACTGGCATTTAAACGAATGATAGGCGCCAACACATTATATTTCTGTGTTGAACAAATTACGCTTACTGCATCGTGCCTACCTCTTGTAAATAATCCATGTAATAATTTACTATATCTAACAAATTTAGGATCGTCGGCGTGATCGTCTATAACGATTAATATTGAATGTAGTTTCTTTATCTTTTTAGATTTCATATAATTAATTATTTTCTTCTGTCTTTCAATTACATTTTCTAAATCACTTGGATTATAATTATCAAAATAAATTTGTTCTTTTTCATCATCCACGTGCAATTCATCCCTGATATATTTTTTAACTTCTGTAAAGGTTGGGTCATTATGAACGCTGGGGGAAAATATAAATATTCTTGCAAATGAATTTCTATAAACATTTAAGATAAGGTTCTGAACCAAGACTGTTTTGCCACCTGTCGAACTCGCAACTATAATACTTCTAAATGGTAATTTTGGCACGTGCTCATATTTAGATTGTTTGAATTCATATTCAGTTATGTTTATTGGCTTTATTATTGGAACATCTGACATAATAAAATAATATTAAAGTTATTTAGAAAATATTTTAAATTTATTATTTTATATGAATAGAAGCTATTCAGATTATATTGATATAATAGATGAAGTAGAGAATTTAGAACAAGTTGTTATAACTGACAATAGATGCAAGAAAGTATGCTATTTTGTTTTAGAAATAATTAAGTCTGTGATACAATATATCAATAATAAAAATGCAAATGTTAATATAAATGGGAAGAAAGAAAAAGAATAAGACTGAACCAGTTGTTTCTTCAACTGATGAAGAAAAAGAAGAAGTTGTTAAAGAAACATCAGTTATTGAGTTTGCTTGTCCAATGTGTAAAAGAATATTAGAAATGAAAAATGAATTAGAAATAAAAAATAATAAAAATTGCAAATGCTCGTGTATTCCAGCAAGTTTCAAATTGAGTAAACATGATAAGAAAATGAATATTGATAAAACTAAAGACAGTATCAACTTAGAAACAGATGTTCATAATATTACATTTAGATGGGGTCGGAACGCTACTCCATCCGATAATGGCGATAAGGAAACACAGGAAACGATACGCGAAATGATGAAAAAATAATAAGTAAAATTATTTCTATTATTATTTATAATGCAAGATGTTATAAATAATATTCTTAAGTTCATTGATGTAAAAGAATTGTAATTAAATAATTTTATTGAAGAATATAACGAAAATGATATATTAATTAATTTTGTTAATGACTTTAGAAATAGTAAAATTGATTTTAACATGTTTTATATTCTATTAATTATGCTGATTTATTTGAACAATCAGATTTAAAATTTTATTGTAAAAGAATATATTCATATACTTTAAGATTTATTGCTAATTATGATAATAAAAATGCTATTCAGTTTTATGAAATTACATTGAGAAAAATGAATAATATTTACAAAAAATAGTAACATTAATGTTGTTAATGTGTTTGAATGTATTAAATGTTTAACAATTTATATTACAGATAATATTGAAAAGTTTCATAAATATTCAAAATTTAGAAAAACTATTATTTGTAATTTAATTGGTAAATTGAATAATAATTTAACGAGTTACACAATAACTAATTTTGAATTGACTTATAATGGTATATGATTTTGTAAAATAAAAGTTTAGTTTTAAAAGTTTTATTTTATAATATAATATATATATTTACATGGATGAAGGATTAGAAAAGATTGTTAAAAAACTGAACAAGGTTTTAGAACAGAATAAGAATATTTTAGAAATCTTGCAAGAAATGGAAAAGAAGAAACCTTTAACAAACAGTTATCAAAGTAAAGAAGTAGATAGAACCAATGGTGAATATAAAAATAAAAGAAATATTTATTTAAACAAACTTAATAACAAAGAAATTAAAGAACCGAAGGCTTCAACTATGACATTTTATCAAATTGACTATGATGAAGATACGGGGGTTTATTCATAGATAATAATCCAACGACAAAACAGCATGTGTTTCTTGAAATTAGGTGGGGTTCCCCCTTTTTTGGGGCGACAGTTTATTTGTATTATGTTATTATAATATAAATTAACATTGTAAAACTTTATAACCTTTCATTATACCATAGTTATACTCTATAAAATTTGTTTTTGTGTTTCTTTTTTAATGAATGAACCTAACCTTGCCCATAATATTTCTACAAAATTTATGATAAACATATTGTAAGATAATTTATCATAGTTTTTGGAATAATATTTTTGAAAATTTATTTTTTGAAAATTTATTTTTTGGAAAATTACTTTTTTTTGAACATATTATTTTTTGAAAATATTATTTTTTTTGAAGATATTTTTTTTAAACATTTTTTTTTTTTTTTATGAATGAGCTTAGCCTTGCCCATGCATCCTACCATCAATAACCATATCATATGAACCACCCTATACTTCTATTTCCCCACAAGCATCCTAACAATGACAAAAATGATGGAATATAAAATGAGAAAATGTGACTTTTTTGATGGATTTTGAGGTTGAGACTGTTATGAAATGTTTTGAGTGGAAATATGCATAATGAATAAGGATGACGATTTGAATAATAAAAAAATGGTTGAAAAATGCTGTCCTTGCGTAGGGTGGGGGTCACGCTCGGGTACCAAAAAAAGATGGGCAAGGCCCACCCTAACTGTAAGTAGCAGACGAGCCCGCGCAAAGATTCCCGGGTTCCATCAAAGCGTTTTCCCCGAGGGCCAAGCTGGGCATGACGATCGTCATGATCATCCATCAGCCGTCGCGACCTCAGCGAGAACACCAAGCCTTGGGGCTTCCAATGTAACCAACTGGGCTCCTGTTTTTTTGGAGGGGGGGATAGTATTCCAGGGGTGGGGGGTGAGGGGTGGGGGGGTGAGATTCTACGGGGTGGTGCAAAGTTAGAGCTCTACATCAAAGTATTTGCTGCTGGTTGAATAGGCAGGGAATGAGGAAAAGCCATCCCACTGGGATCAGGTTCATATTCCCAACACCTGCCCTGGCTCATTCTCCCATCGCAGCGATCGCAAGAGCTTGGTGCTCCGCTTTTCTCGCAGGCGCTACAGCCTCTTCACGCTGCTGGATGACGTCGTGCTGCCCCGTCCTCGGCCGCGCTCCTCTCGAAGAGCTTTCTGGGTCTCGGCCTCACCTTGAAGGCCCAAGAAGCAAAAAGGCGGCCCGAAGGGTTTCCTCTGCGGAGCGGGTGGTTCGAAGTCGGAAAATATTTTGGGCGTTTTATCTTTTGGCTTTTCCTGGGTCTTGGAAAACCCGAAAAAGGTGCCGAGCCTCCAAAAACGACGAGCCAGGTGGGGACCGTTTATTTTTTTTTAAAGCAGCACTTGCTTTTTTCGGAACGAGATGCCTGTTTTTGTATGGCTTTTCGTCCGATCGAGAAGCCGGAAGGTGGCCAGCACCAGACTAGCCACAAAGCCCATGAGTTCGGGTTGTCTTTGTCCAGGTAAGAAGTGCGACTTGAATCAAACGTCTACCTTGTGATGCAAAGAAATCCCGGTGTTGTTGACTTGATTCCGCGGTCGCAAGAAATGGGTCTGCGTCAAACATGGGAGGACCGCCCCAAAGCGGATTTCGGTTTTCCTCGTGGTTTCCCTTGAGCCAACCCCACAAAGGGGCTTGCGCAAGGCCCTGTCGCCTAGCTTCAACTCCAAAAGCCACGATGGTCATGGGTTGGTTTTTGTTCCCCAGCTGAAAGCTTTGGGGTCTCAGCCCAGATAGGCCCTCAAGAAACTTGTAGAGTGAGAAAAAAAACAACGGCAACAGAAAGATGCACAAGCCAACTGGCACGCAGAATCAATGCTCTTCCTGTTGGTCGAGTTCTGTATCAGTTTTCTTTAATCCTGGAAGTGGGCAAGAGGCCTGTGAGGTCGGTAGTTTTCCAAATCCCTGTTCGCAGCCATCCCATTTGGCTTCTATCATCCTCTTTGCGGACACAAGGGAGAAAGAACGCACCTGTTTTCGGTGGATAAGACACACCTAAATCACAGTCACCCTTATGTGGTTCCTGGTTTTTCAAGCAATGGTCATCCCGTGTTTATGCGACGGGTTGATCAACCCCCCATACAACCTTCAATTGCACTTGGGGGTGGATCAATATTCCGTTTGGCCCACATGACCATGGGTAACTTTTCCAATTTCGTGGTGAGAGTCATCTTTTTTGGTGGGCCTTGTGGTCACCTGATCTTTGTGGGACCTTTTGATGAACCCCCCTTTTACCGAGGGTCCATGTAGATAAGACCTACTTGCAGGGTGCAAAACCTCTTTTCAGTTCACCCTGTTTACCCTCATAGAAGCTTCAAATCACTTCGTCACCTAACGAGTCACCCTAGATAGCCAAGTTGCGATCGCTTTTTCCAGTCACTGTTCCTGTTTTTTGGGGTAAAGTGCATTCCCTGAGGCTCATGGCCCCTACAATGCGCTGCGGCCCCCGGGCCCTCCCATGAAGAACCTGGACCAATTCCTGGGCCCTCAAAAACAGCCCATGTTGAGGGCCCAAAAACAATCGGGAGCCTTAGGGGTGGGACAAAAAGACACCGCCATTGGAAAACACTTTTTCCAGTCACTGTTCCATTTTTTTATTTAAAAAAGCGCATTGGAAAGAAAAAAGGAACAGCAAAAACAGCAAACACTTCTTTCACCCCTTTTACCCTTATAGAAGCTTCAACAAAAACAGAGAACAAACAACACCAAAACATATGAAAAAAAAACAAGCAAACACCATCGCCACTGGCGATCGTGGGACCTGTCCTTCGGCTCGCGTCTCGGACTCTGAGGTTGGGCACCGGAGGCCACCTCGCCTACATCGGGCGCGGACGCCCGGCGGACGCCCGACGGACGCCCGACCGCGCCTAAAGCGGCGCCGAAAAGCGCGCCGAAAGGCGAAAGGCGGATCCGTTTGGGTGGGGAAATGGAGAAATGGGTGTGGCTCAAAATTAACCAGGAGGGGCAAACCGCAGGTTTTGGTCCATGTTTCCACTTACTAGGGCAACCCATTTTGGAATTCCGGTTTTTGGAGCCACTGCCAAATTGAGAGGCCGCCTGGAAAACGAAGGGCCAAGTTTTGGGGGAAATCCCGGCGAAATCCGGTGGATTTGAGCGGAGTCTGCTCCTTTGGTTGCGGAGTCCCCCGAGATCTCTCGCGTGAAGGACTGCCCCGCCGGGAAAAAGAGGGTAAATGGAGCGAGGCAAAGGACCCCTCATGTTCAGAGGATTTTGGTACGAGACCCCCCTTTTGTTGGGTTCAACGTCAATTTGGAGGAAGGTATGAGTATAGTAATTTGCCTAGAGAACATAACGCCAGTATTCTGGGGATTGGGACCTACTAAATTTCAACCACCAAGGGACGAAGCGTGGCTCAAATGACTGTGGCTCAAATGGACTTCGCTGTGTAGGAGGCGGATTTTCGGATGACGGCAAACGAAACCCAACCCTATGTCGCCCATAGCCACGTATCTTGCACTGGATCGGCCCCGAAACTCGGCAGTTTGCCACGGAGGTGTTTGGGACCAATTTCCTGTTGGCAGCGGTCTGGCGGTCCAAGCAAAATGGCCCTTAACCAAGAGACAGTCAGGGGCTCGCAGGAGTTGATCAAAGGACAGGTTTCGTTTCCCGTTGTTCCTTGGTTTCCTTTGCTTTTCCCTACGAAAGTTGTACCATTCCGACAAGGCCTCCATATTCCCCATGTCCTGAAAAGGAATTACCCTCCCACCAATTAACATGGAACCTGACAGGGGGTCCCTGGAAAAGGAAAATGGTCCAAGATTCAAGATTCCCCAGACATCTTCTTCCAGCATCTTGAATCTTGAGTCTTATTCGCTTGCAAGCGATTGGCAGCTCCAGGTCCCCAAAAATGCTACAGCTTTCAGCAGAAGAATAGTACGCAAAATACACTGTGCAGCGTCAACGTGCCTGCAACAGTCATTTTATCGTGTTTGTCCTTATCATTTTGCAGGGAGAATCAGCAAACCTCCTATTTTTGGGAAGGACTTCATGCCTATCTAAGTTGCTATTGAAATTTAACTCCACATCAATTGTAACGGTTCTTGAAGTTCTTCAGTTTCCATTTACATTCTAATGAAATTAAGTTCAATCTGATATACTTCCATCGCCATTCTGATTCAACTCTATCAAAATGACCTGTTGCGCACCATTTGTTGCGCTAACTAGTTGCAAACCAGGCTGAGCGCCTTGGAACTGTTGCGCAACATGTGGCTGTGGCTCCAAAAACCGGAATTCCAAAATGGGTTGCCCCAAAACCTGCGGTTTGCCCCTACTGTGAAATCTTGAGCCACACCCATGTGCGGCATTCTCCAGCAACTTCCACTTTTCGGGGGGCCTGAAATCAAGACCCCCTGCCCCACCCCCCCACCCCCCTCGCAGCTTTTCTGTGCAATCTTTGGTCTTGGATCTTGCACCCAAACAGAAGCGCGGTCTTTCCAGCAGGTGCCCAGAACGAGCCTCAAATCTTGCGGGGGGCTGTGGGTCTTCTGATCCGCGGCCACAAGTGAGTTTAACTTTAGTGGGTTAAAATCGGGGGTGCCCAACCACTAAACCAACAAGCTCCAAGAAGCCAAGGAACCGGATGGAAGGGAAAAGCCAAGTTAGGGGAGAAATGATGCATCTTTGCCAAGGAGCTGATCCATGTGCATTGAACCACTGTAATTGGCTTGGCTCAGTTTGTTCTTAGAATTACTTGAAATCGGACAAGGACAATTCACCTTTGAAATTGAAGTTGGTGTCAATTTCCGCTCGCAATATCGACACTCGTTCTCTCCACCTGCTTTTTATTCGGAATGCATATCCTCAATAGACGTTATTGGCATGTATTTTGAATCTATCTAGATAAAAAAAGCACAGAATTTGATAGGATGTGCTTTCTGAATGTGATGTTTAACATTGTCGTAGAACCGGACGCAAAAAACATATTTCCCACTAAGACACCCACTATGGTTCTTGAATCTTGAGCCCAGTATGGGGCCCCCGGAACGCTCTGAAGCGCTATCCAGTGTTTTGGCCCCCAAAACGCTTTTGGATTCAGGATTTCAGGACTCTAGATGTGAAATCTTGAATCCAGCCTGGGCCCCAAAAAAGCTTTAAAGCGCTTTAATTTAATGCGTTTTGATTCTCGTGGGTTCAAGATTCGCGCCCCCTCTCGAGCTACCTGGATGAGGGCGCTTTGAAGCATTTTAGGGGCCCAGGCTGGATTCAAGATTGCAGATCTGGAGTCCTGGGCATCTTGGATCTTGAATCTTGAATCCAAAAGTGCTTTAAAGCGCTATCAAGCATTTTAGGTTGCTAGAGGTGCAGTCAAATGTGCAAATGCAGGCATTGTTAGATGGTCAAAATTGGGGTCAAACTTGGGGTGCCTGAAAAGGGGGTGGACACCACCCCCAAAAGTAACGCAAAAAATACCGTCAAACTCTCTTGGGTGTTGGGTTTTGTTGGGGGGTACCAAAAGTATATATACATATATATATATATATACAAATATATATATATATATATATATATTTATTTATATACACAGGTACATGCAATTCCGACACCTCTCTCCTTCCCCTCGGTGGGGCTATGGTATGCGTCTTCTCCCAAGCTCGAGGCCGACCCTCCGGGCCAAGCCCTACTTTGAGCGCCTCGGCCGGGGCGCCTGAGACAGCGGCGCCCACCATCTGAGATGCCGAGCCACCGAGCCAGGGCTTTTCTCTGGGCAGCCGGTGGGTAGATAGGTAGGCAGATAGAAATGCACAGCTAGAGCTGGACATATTTTTGTTGGGAGAGCCAGGGCTTCCATTTGCTTAAGTGCTTTTTTGTTTTTTTCGTTTTACCAGTTGGCTTCAAAGGGATCTCTATCACTATTGGAACCATTTTGATTTTTCCTAGGGGGCTGAAGCCACTTCGGTACCACGGTGAAGCCCTGAAATGGGAAGGAGGTTCGAGTTGAAGAAGGGAGCCAGGGCTAAGAAGGCACCCCACTTACTCCCTCTCAGCCAGGCTATTTTTCAAAGTATTTCGACCCCCAGCATGGTGGTGTTTCTTTTGGTTTCCCTTAGCATCAAGCTGTAAGCAAGCAAAACACAAACCCACCTTACTGTGACCATGACATTGTGTTTCCCCCTAAATTCAATCAACTGATCGAGTTTCGTTTGTTCCCCCCACTTCCACCTACAAAATCCCTCCATGCCGCCCCGGGGCCTCCGTCACCCCATATCCCCAAAATTCTAGGAAATCTTTGTGGCTCGCGCATCGCAGGTCAACTTGCTATGGCTGGATGAAATCCGTTTCGCACCACCTAAGAATCCCTGGAATGATGACTCCCCTGCAAATACCAATAAACAATGGACTGCCTTGGTTTCAAAGCGGTGCAGGATTGCGTCCATCCACAGTCTAATTTATCATGTTTTCTGGTTTTCCATGGGTTTGGTGTTCTGGACCTTGAGACACGCCATAAAGAGCCCTTGCCTGCAAAGCAACTCGGAGCGGAATCTACCCTGAATCTGGTAGCCCTTCGAATGTGGAGGGTTCCAGAAGCGGAATCCAAACGGAAACCTAGCTAGGTTACGAGAGGAGGCTTGTCTTGTGCCAAGAAAGGTCAGTTTTCCTTGTTTTTTTGGCGGGATTCTGCTGGCCTCTGAGAACCAAACCGTGAGCAGATCATCTGACCATTTGGCGAAATGAGACAAGGCAGCAGCTCAAGGCAGCAGCTGAAGGCACCTGTCTTCATATCTTTCCGCAACGCCTTCCGCATGCCGCTTTGAGGCTTTGGGGAAGCGGCTCCTTTTGGAAAGTCACCGAACAGAACGGGGGATCAACCCCCTGGACTAGCATCCACTTACTTCCCCAGTTTCTGGACTTGATACTTTTGGTGCTTGGACCAAGTCTTAGTGGCACGCACAAAGTTTTTTTTCTTTTTCTGGGCCGATCCACTCGAGAGGTGAGGCCAAATCGGGCCGCCGGCGCGCTGCAATGCTGCCGCTGCCGAGGTTTGATCATGCCCGAGAACGAGAACCCCGCAGACTGGATGCCGGCGCCCTGATGAGAGGTCTGCCGCTCCTTCCGCGCTCATTGTTTTTGGCGCGGGTTTTCCGAAATTTTGGTGTGGCTCAAAATTAAACAGGAGGGGCAAACCGCAGGTCTTGGTACCCATGTTTCCACTTACCAGGGCAACCCATTTTGGTACCGGTTTTTTGAGCCACAGCCAAATATGTAGATATGTGAATACGCAAATATGTGTTTTTCTGTGTACGGGATCATGGATGTGTGGATAAGGAGAATCTCGATGTGTATACACATGGTTGCATCTCTCGAACAATATATCGACTTATCTTAGGCAAGTTTGTAGAAGTGTGTATGTTGTGTGTCTTCGGCCATCTTTGCCTTCTTGGCAAGGCGGTGTCAAGTTTGAAAGATGTCAGAACCTCCCGCATGCTCTTGACAACTGAGTGAACCATCCATCTACTTTCAAGCTCAACCAACTGGTCAAAGCTCAGTTGGGGTCATGAGTTGGTCCTTGGTCCTATGGTCCTTTGCCACTGGTCACCACCAGTTACCATTGGGCCATGGCTGCGAATCAAGTGCCCAAGGCCCCCGAAGCCACCTGCACTGGCACTCTGGGGATTGAAAGGTTTGGACGTGCCTGGGGGTGCCTTTGGCCAGCAAAAAAAAACAGATTACCATCGAGCTGGCTATGCGTACAGGGAACCGCCTCAGAAAGTGATTAGTGGACACCATGTTCCACCAAATGCTCCCTTGCCCATGTAAAAAAAACATACCCATTTTGGGAAGACACAGCCTTTTCACCAAGCAACTGCAGCTTTCTGTTCCCCAAAGTACAATCTGGACAGCGGTTTTTGAACGTTTGCTACCCCCATTTGCGAGAGGGCCCCCAGCTTTTGGACAGGTCTCAAAAATTATTTGGATCGGCCCGGCCGTCGGCATCGGCGCGTTTTTTGGGGGTCTCGCCTTTCTCAGAGGGTAGGGTGGTTTGCTTTGGCTTGGACTGTCGCATTGGTTTTTTCAAACAGAAGGCAGTTAAAATGTTTTTTTTGCTATATCGGTGAGGGCAAACCATGCAGAAAGGCAAAGGTACCGAGTTCCCTACAGTACCTGGAATCACAGTGCAGCTTCCTCAACTGGCATCTGGTCTTGGACATATTTGAGTTATAATCAAAACCCGGGTAATTGGAGGGTAGTGAGGGACAATCCCAGCCATAAATGGGTGCGGATCTCCGCCTTTTCTTAGTTCTTGAAGCATGGTTCTGGGTCCATTTCGACCATTTCAATCCCGGGTTTTTGGATTATGACTCAGTTGGCGATCCAGGTTCAACCATGGTAAACTGGAATCACGTGAAAGCCGAGTCGCCGGGTTTGGGCTAAGCTGACATAGGCGCTGGACTATCCCCTTGGCCCTTGAAGGGAAGAACGCCCCGGCCGAGTTTTATTGGGTTTCCTTCTTGGTTGACTATCAGAAGACATCCAAAGGCATGGGCGGTCTGTTTTTTTTTTTTTTTTGGGGGGGGGGCGCGCGGTACCCCCAACAAAATGCGATTTCCCTTTTGGTTTTCTTTTTTAACCAGTTGGGCTCTGACCTGTTCTCACACTGGGGCGGAGGGGAGGTCAGTGGTCAGTCATCTGTCTGAGCGCTGAGGATGGACATCCTGTGCGGAGAGATTGACCAGCAGTACTCGAGGACCTCCCGCAGACCTTTGACGATGGGACTTGGACAAACACAGCGGATTTTCAACCGTAAGAGCTCAGAGAGGATTATGGCTTAGTTTGGTATTGAATTCTCCCCCCATTCCATTTTTTTTGGCTAGCCGAAACCACTTGGGGGTTGGTTTTTGACACAACCAGGCGACACCTCAGCTTCCCCCCCGTGCGGATTTGGGATTTGAAGCCTTGGTTCGCGAAGGGGAAAACGACCGACTCCTTCCGTTTCGGGTTTCGCAGGATCCAAAAAGCGGAGCTGCCGGCGATTCTCTTCGAGTGGCCGCTCGGCACATCGTTTAGACGGGACCCACGGCGAGGCGTGGGAGAAGAAAGATGGTTAGACGAGGGGACCGAAATCCGGCTTGCCCAAGACTTCGTGAAAGGACCTCAACGCAGGGTCCCAACTGGAAAAAAGGGAAGCGAAGCCGTGTTGGTTTGCGGAAGCCACTTGCCGTGTCTCCCCAAGTAGCAAGCAGCTTACGTCTTTACGGGGGAGCCAATCCAGCCACATGGGTCTGTCTCGAAATGAGGACCCCCCCAAACGGTTGGCTTTCCCGTTGGTTTCCCTGTTCCAGTTGGCCTTGGGTTGCAACAGTCAGTAGTCACGGCAGTCACGGGTTGGTTTCTCCCACAGCGTGTCGCTTGTGGGTGGACCCTGGTCCACCATCTTGTCGTTTTCCTGTCACACCCCCAAACAGGACATGGAGACAAAGACAAATCCCAGGTAGATGAAGGATAGTAAGGGGCAATCCCAACCATACGCGGACTTGCGCTCGCGCCCATGCACGGCAGTGCGGTGCAGTGGGCGGTCTGTTCCGGCCTAGACAGGCCTTGCGAGGTCTGCAGCAACCCTTACGGGCCGAGCGGACGTGAATGTTGACAGCCCTTGTCGCATGTCAACCAGGCTAGCGTGGCAGCAGCCGAGGAAAACGCCCTTTTGGGGTGGGTGAACACCAAAAGAAAGAAGGTTAATGCCAGAAGCAAGGCGATCACCAAGTCCAAAAGAGCGGACAAGCGTGCCTACAAAGGTCCTAACATAGTGCATCAGCACCGTGACCGTTGGTCTAGCGAAGGCGTGCAGCGGCACCTGAAGCCCTGCAGAAGTCTGTACAGGGAAGTCAACGCATGACTTGGCCGCAAAAATGGTTAATTCGAGCCAGCTGACCGCTGTGCACTCATCACTCTGGCAGTCAAGAGCTAGGAACCAATCTCCAAAGCTCCTGAGGAAGTCCGGCGGGTACGACCCGAGGCTCTCGACGAGGCTTTGATGCCAGTGCAGTGGCAGCTCGTCCGCCCAGGTGCTGTTTCGTGAAAACCAGTTCTGACCAGGGCGGTTGTGAACCTCATCCGCAGCAGGGTCATCACTGGGATTTGGCTCTTGCGGCTGCACGGTTTGCAAAAAGCTGGTATAAATGGCCTCAAGGGCATCACAAACGTTGCGCCAGTGCCTGAAATACCGGTCCGCTTCGTTCCAAGCGTCGAGGAAAGAGGTGGGCCTGCTTTTGTTAGCAAAAACCGCTGCTTTGTCTGCTGCGCTGTTGCCGACCGCCAACCATTCTTCAAACGGCGAATCGCATCGCCGAGGGTCAATATGGGCCGGGATCCAGTTGACAAGAACTGTGGAGCTGCGATTGGTGCGTAGCGCGTCCTGAATGCGTTCCCAAATGTCAAAGTTCTCGGTGTGGATGGGGTCGATATCATCAATACCAGAGAAAGTCTCAGATACATATTGCGAGTCCGTCCAAACGCAGATAGGTACATCATGGTGCGCTCCCCACAAAATTGCTGCTAAACAAGCCGTGGCTTCTGCTCGACTGATGGACTGAACAATACCTTGAAGTGGTCCAGCTGCAATTGTCACCCGTTTTCCAGCGTGCGTAACTGCCCAAGCTGCTAAAGATAGCTGTTTGCAAGGATGTTGAAAGCACGATCCGTCGGTGAAAAGCTGTTGTAGACCAGCACTGCAAGGTGTAGCAAAAAAATCAGTAGATAGATCAGCATGTTCATGTAGGGCGTTCTTGATGCTGAGCTCAAAGGGGTTCCGAGGCACAAGCAAGTGGTTTCGCACACACTGCGGAAGTGTATCCCACTGGTCGCAAACCCATTGGTGTGGCTGGCGAGCTTCGTCGGCGAGAACACAACTGACTATCTGGTGGCGAAAGTCGTTGACAGTACCACATCGAACGCAAAGGCTGCTGGCTGCAAGGTCGAACTTTGCGTGCTGGGCAGAAGTACGAAAAGACCCATCCTGAAGCGCAGCGAGTTGTGCGGCCTGCTGTGGTGTGCGGGATGCCCTCTTGTGATAACTGCACGCTGTATCAATGCCGTGGAGGCCAGCAAACGTGGGCCGGCCTTGTACCTGTTCTGCGACATGCTGATGCCAAGCGTCCTCGAGACGGTGCTCGAGTTCCCCATTGCTGCACGCCAGTAGATCAAAGACCTGGTTGTCATGATCAACTAGGTTGGGAGGCCGAAGGACCTGCCAGCGCAGATGGGCCAAGACCTGTAGCAGCTTGGAGTACGGGCCTGGGAAAAACTGACCGTCAAATCGCTGCATGAAAAGCTTCCACTCGGCAAGATGCCCAGGCTGCTTGTAACACATGCGTCTGACGTCGCGCAGTACAACCTTGGCCTGGTAGAATTCAGGATCAGCAAGTAGCGGAAGTGATGCGGCAATTCTCAATAGAGGGTTAGCTCCGGCTCGTTGAATACGGAGGGAGCGAACTGCACTTGTTCGGAGCTTGGCCAGGTGGCTAGATGCAAGCAGGCAGGTACTGATGCCATGTAGGGCACGCGGCCAGAGGGCCTGCCATAGGACTGTTGCTCGTAGCAGAAGTGGGCCGGGAGCTCGCTTCAGGGCGGTCCAGGTGTGATCGAGCCCTCGACATCTATCGACAAGGCCAGCGTTACGAAGCACCTTGCCGTAACTCATAGTGCCTCCAAGATCCCGTGCTTCGCGCACAACAGGGAAAGGCAGCTGCTGAAGGCTTTTCCTGTGCGGGGCAGTGACGGCCCAGGCAAAAGACTTGTTGATGTCGATTGGCAAGTGGAAGAGGTCGCAGAATGCTTCGACTGTGCACCAGCTCCGGACAAGGGCACTCGGTTCGACCGCGACAACGGAGAGGTTGTCAACGAAGGAGTAGGCCTCAGCGCCTGGGGCAAACTGCTGGAGGTAGCAATGATAGGAAAGGTCTATCAGGAGCATGGCGATGATGGAAAGCGGGCAGCCTTCTGCAAATCCGTTGTTGGAGCGAACGCCCTCCGAGAGGGCTGACCGAACAATGAACCGGCGCTGGTTGTGCCTGAGAAAGGCCTGCCATGGCCCGAGAATGTGGTTGCCAATCCCGAGGTGCTCCGCGAGAAACCAGACTGGTGATCGTGCCAAATTGTTGAAGCACTTCTGCAGGTCGATGGAGTATCCGCACATACTGCCGCCGGCCTGCGAGGCTAGCTCGATGAGTGCCTGAATGGCATACACTACCTGAGTGGTCTCCCGTCCCGGCAGAAAGCCGTACGCGTGGCATTGGAAGAAAGGCACAAGGTGGGAAAGCACTTCCTTGGCCCTGATGGCGGCCCAAGTGCGATAGAGCAGGCTATAGATGACGATGGGACGGTAGTCGTCGGGGCCCTGAGGGTTGGCGCCTTTGCCAATGCACCTCACAACACCTTCGAGGAGTTGAGCTGGCCAAGAAGTGGCCCCACGCTCAAGGTTATTGAACCAGTTGACGAGTTGATCCTCAAGGTAAGGGTGTAGGTGCAGGAGGTCGCCAATGGAAAAGCCATCGGGGCCCTTGGCCGCATGGGGCCGGTATTTCCGGAGAGCGGCTCTCCAGCGAGTTGTGGTCAGCGGCGTGTAAGGCATCTTTCCGGATGGGATGAATGCCCGGGTGAACGCGGCAATGCGCTGAAGGTCCGAAGCCGGGAGGTCGGCACTTTTGTTCCACCTAGACTGCCAGAGGTGAATGCAGGCATCATGAATGTCACTTGTTTCAGTGACAAAATCGGTCTGAGTGAGGGTCTGGCTGGGGTACAGGACAAAATCGCTGTCGACATGTAGGACACAGTCATCATGTGCCGATACATTGGCTGGTTGCCCTTCGAGATCCCAAGTCGAAGAGCTACGTATGTTGACCTCCTTGTCGACATGAACCAAGTTGGTGGATGGTTCAACACCCAAAATTGTGTAGTGCTGGCGAACTGTGAGGGTATCAATGGAGGCTGGCTTGTCTTCCCTGATGAAGGCGAAGATTGAGCCCTGATTCTCGCTCAGCCGCACGTCAATGGCCCGAGCACGCTGGCGGAGATGCCAGGCCTCGAAGCGCCTGTAATTGGCGCGGAAATCCTGGTAGATAAGCTCGATGGTGTTCACGTCTGGCACCGCAAGGGTGACGGTAATAGGTGAGCCGTGTAGTTGGACCGATCGGTGGGTCCACCAGGAAGAAAATCCCTTGCTAAAGCCAGGGGCTTCATGGACTGCTTTCCAGGTTTGCAGTCTGTAGACAACCGCAGAGGCCGCAGGAGAGGCCGCCCGAATTGAGTGGCGAAGGCTGAGAATCCTTCGAAGTTGCTTGAACCACTGACGGACAGCAGTTCCAACGAATGAGGAGACTGGCAAGTCCTCCCCTTGTCTGCTGGGACGGAGAGTTGGTGCCGTAGGTGAGGTCATAGTTGGTGCAGCTTTGCGAGCCCTGCCTTTGCTGCGACGCGGCAAGCGTCCATCTTGGAAGCTGTTGCAGTAGCCGTCCAAGGAGTCTTCAAAAGTCTTAGCAAAAGAGCGGAGCCAGCGAGAGGAGTTGGCGTCCTCAGCAAGATGTAGGCTTTGGGCATGCCAAGCAGGGACATCCACATCCTGCCATGGCCTCACCAACGCGGTGCCGGGAGGTCCAAGGGAAAGCCGGAGTCCCACCAAGACGCTGAGCAGTTGCCCCGGACTCAATATCGCAGTGGGCTCCATGAGGAACCCCCGCGCTGAGAAGGGAGTGCTGGGCACAGGGCGCATGCTGAGCGTCATAGGCGGCACAGGTGCCAGAAAAGCAATGAAAGAGAAGAGCCCAAGTGAGCCAGAGTAGGCTCGGTCGGCCGAGACGATGGCTTGGCCTCCCAGCAGGCCGAGGCTGGGAGCCAGGGGGGCGTAGTCACTCCGTGCGCGCCTTTTTGGCGAGCAACGCCTCAAGGCGGGAGAACTGGTCGTCGAAGTGTTGGTGGATGTCAGTTTTGAAAGAATGGAAGTTCTGCTGCATGCTGTCCGATGAGCTTCGAACTTGTTGCTGCACGTCGGAGATGGCTTGCTGTTGCTGGACAACGATGCCCCGGAGTTGTTGCAGATCATCAGCTTGCTTGCGGCTGCTTTCACCGGCTTGCTGGAACCAGGATTCGAATTTGCGGCCTTGCTCCTGGAGCTCCCGAACGTTGACTGCAAGCTGGTTTGACTGAGTATCAGAGGAGCTGGCAAGCTCGGCTAGGACTGATTGGCGAACGTCAGTCCGTAGTTGTTCGCCAAGCTGGTCGAGCTTCTTGGCAGTGGCCGGGGCCGGTGTGGACGTGACAGGCATGTCGACATCAGAGCTGGAAGAGTTGTGCCAGCGAGCCCAAGGATCAGTGCCATTCTGCCACGGATCGGCTCTGCTTTTGGCGCTGGTCGTTGCAGTTGTGGTGGTAGTGGATGCAGCCCTGATGTGGCGGATAGTCTTGCCTGAGGCAGTGAAGCCTGAGGCTGGTGGTTCGCGCTGTCCGATATCACGCACCTTGGTGATGATGACTTCACCATGTGGCCCAGGCTGGATGGCTTTCTTTGGTGGTTCGGAAGCACCAACTTCCCAAGCTGCTCCTTCTGCGCTACCGCGCGATGCCTGCATGGGACGGGCAGCCCATTCCCATCCAGTGAGAAGTTGTTGCACTGCTGATCGCTGGATTCCATGGGGCAGAGGAAAGATGCGGTAGATGCAGGAGACTTTGATGTTGACAAAAGGCAGTCCCGGGCGAAGGAAGGAGTGAGCAGCTGCCTCGTTGGTGGCTTTGACACGAATGCCAAATTTGGTGTTGAGGCGTGTAAGGCTGACGGTGAAATCACAGGTTCGAGCTTTGTGGCGTGCCTCAGGGCCTGTGGCGGCTGGTAGCCACACAACGGAGAAGGTAGCGTCGACAGCCCGACCATCTGTGGAACGTGGGTCGAAGTAGATCCCATTGGAGCCAGAGGCGATGTGTAGGTGGCTGCCAGCGGAGAGCGGCACCCTCACCAGAACTTGGAAGACCGTGCTGTCGGCCGGGGTCACTTTCTGACCAGCAAGGCTGGAGTATCTCCAGGCCCAGGCATCAAGGATGACGGCTGAGACAGCTTCCTCAAGAGAAGGGTGGAACTTGCCGCATTTTTGCCCGCAAGCATCGTCTTGGCAAAGTTGCAGGCAGGTTGTGGTTCTGATGACGTTTCGCAAGGGAGCTTTGATGAAGTCAGGCCAGTCGTGGGGTAGCTCGTCCTTGAAGACGCTGATGCGAAAGATGCATAGGTCAGGCTCATCTTCAAGGGGTTGGTTGGCTGGCTGAATGCGCTTGACTGAAACATCGCCAAGTTGAATCAGAGTCCCAGTGAGCAAAACCGGCTCATCCGTGCCGGTGTACAGGGCAGGGAAGCGAACAGCCTCAGTAGTGAGCCCCGCAAGGTTGACGGGGAGCTCGGCAGTTGTGAGGAGCGCGAGGGCGTCGATTGAGATGGAAATTCCATCAGCCAGGAACCTATTGGCTTCAGTGGCCGGGACGATGGCAATGCCCCTGCGGTTGGCACCGACCTCCGAAGCTGGGATCTGTTGCAGGGGTTCGTCCTGGTCATCGACAAAAGTGCCGGTTGGGATGACAAGGTGCTCAGGGCTAATCTGAAGCTCCGATTGGTGTCGCGCTTTTTTGTCGGATTTGAGCTTTTTCTGCTTGGCGTTCGGGATGAAGGCGCCGTGTTCTCGTTGGGCCTGTGTGGCAATGTGGTTGTTGAGCTCATCGGTGGAAATCCATCTGAAGCGTGTGGCCGGTCGAGAGGCAGCGGCTTTCAGGGATTGCCAGGGGTTGCGGGATTCGAGTGCCTCATGCACCGTAGTGGCGCTGAGTTTGGCGATGGCCTGGCTTGCCCGGTCTTGCACAGCCTCGGGGGGTACCCCCTTGGTGAGCAACAACTGTGTCAGGTCGTGGGTGATTTGCTCAGTTGGAAAGCCGCCTGCAAAAAGCTCATCAGGGTTATGGGTGGTGGTGCCGTAGGCAAGATGCCAATTGTAGATGCTCTCATGGGTGATGGTATCCCAGAGATCTGCTGCTATACCGAAATGGGCAAGAGCAATGGCACCGCAGGTCCCTGGGGCAGCCTGCTGAAAGTGGTTGCGGTGGACCACACCTTGGTGATTGCAGTGCATGAGGTGGCAAATCCGAGTGGCGAGGATGTCGGCAGCGTTGTGGTTGAGGTGTGGCAGGCCGTCCCAGCAAGTGATTTCAGCTGAGCCCTCCTCACCAAGCTGCAAGGTGAGCAGCGTCCAGTGTTGGTTGTGGGGAAAAACAGTGACAAGTCGGTGGTACTGCCGTAGGGACTTTCCGAGCGCACACACATGGTGTGGTGAAGGGTCGGGTCGTAGTAGATCTGCTGCAGCAACTGGGAGAATGATCCCCCAAGGCTCGGGATCGATGGAGGCCACAAACTTGAGGAGTTGGCCAATGTTGTGGATGACTGCTGTGTCGCTCCAGCAAATGGTGGCAGGAGTGCCGCAGGCTCGCAGATTGCCGCAGTGCAGGATGACTGCGTTGTTCCAGAGCCGCTCATCAAGTGTGAGGAAGGCTCCATTGTCCTGGTTGATGTAATCCCCGCTGAGGTGCTCTGGAAAGTAGCAGATGGCCTCTGCAAAGAGAAGACCTGAGCTGAGGTAGTAGGTTTCGCGGCCGGCCGCGTGCAGGAGCTGGACACTGATGGTCCCTGTGGGCGGATTGAGTGCTTGCTTCTTCTGGGAGCGATGGACCTGGTAGGTGTCGTGCGGTGTTGCGAGCAGTAGCTCATCCGGTGCTCGCTTGAGGCCTTTGTGTCCGATGTGGACCGTGGCTGCCCAGCCTTGCAGCTTGGTCTCGGCTTGCTGTAGTTGTCTGATGGTAGTAGGTTGGTTGAGGTTGATGTGGACATCTGGTTCGTTGTGCTGGCGAAGCCTGATGGTCCGTAGGCAGAAGTGGTGCCGAGTTGCAAAAATCAGATCCCGGTCGACAAGGAGCTTGGTCTGATACTCCTGGACAAAGTTGATTGGAGAGCGTGGGGCATGACCGGTGTGGAGTTCGGCGATCCAGTTGGTGATGTGTGAGAAGACCCACACTGCCTGCAAAGGCGCCGCAATTTGTCCGATAAGGACAAGAGCTCCTCTGGCCGGTGATGGGAGCGGAATCGAAGCTGGCCAAGTGTTGAGCAGGCCTGCTTCTTTGGGGTGTATGAACCTAGGTTGGCCCTGCAGCGTGGATGGGACTGAAAATCCACGGAGTCCATGCTGCACGAGTCGATGCTCCGACAGTGGATGCTTGCGGCATCCGCAAGGGCAGGCTCTTAAGGCAGAGCCCCAGGAGTGCAGTGCAGTAGGAGCAGGAGCTCGTAGGTCGAGTCCACGATTGTCCGTGCCATAGATGGGGTCCTGGTACTTTGTGCACTCATTGGAGTCCCACAGCAGGTTTTCTTCTTCAGTTGTTGGCCAGGCAGGCCACTCCGGAATGACGTCATGGACCGTGCTGTAGCAGGTGGATTTTGGCCAGGCCGTCAATGCGAAAGTGGCAGCTTGATGGTGAGGTAAAAGAACACACCACCAACGCTTGCGTCTGCTGGCCCATTGGTCCTGTAGGTCCAGGATGGTGGTGTGCATGCGCCAACCCCTGCTGCGAGCATAAGCCTGTATAAGGTTGAGCGCCTCCGGGTAGTTGATGATGTTGGCAACGCACTCAAGGATGATGCCAGCACTTTGCATCAGCCATCCACATCGAAGTATAGCATGCAGGGTTTTGCCGCGCAGATCGGCAAGGCCTAAGCCATCTCCTTGGCAAGAGTAAGGCTGGCACGGAAAGCCTGCCGCTAAGAGACAGGGTGTCCCTCCAGCGCAGCTGTGGAGCTTGTGAACCATGCTGGGATTGGCGACATCGCCGAGCACGACATTGCTGTGTCCCTGTAGCCGGAGTGCATCAACTGCAAGCTGTGAGTGGTCAAGGTGTGCAAGTGGGCGCATGCCGGCGTGCTGCGCTCCCAAAGACAGGCCTCCAATTCCGGCGCAGGCTTCCTTGAAGCACAAGAAGGCCTCCCGGGTGTGCGTGGGGCAAACAACCACGTTGTCATAGCTGTTCACCTGCAGGAGTGGCTGCGAAGAGGCCGCGAAGGAGACCTTCGCATCGTAGATCGCAACCAGCTGATCTGCCTTGCAAGGCAGGTTGAGGAGGAAGTCCTGCTGCGGCGACACCCCTATGAGCAGAGCTCTGCCATGCTCATCGCACCCAAGAGAGACCTTGGCCACGATGCTGACGATGGCGCCTTCCTGCTGGTCGGCCAGAAGCAAATCCATGGCAGGTGTCCCGAGGCTCTGCTGTCAGACCGGTCTCACCGTCTGAGAGGTGCTCGGGCCGAGACTACAATCCCAACCATAAATAGCTGCGGATATCCGCCTTTTCTATTCTTTGCATGGTTCTGGGTCCATTTCGTCCATGTCAATACAGTCTTTACATGGTTTTGGGTCCATTTCAACCATTTCAATACCGGCGTTTTGCTTATGACTCACGAGACGAACCAAAAATCAGTCTCTCAGGTGGAGGCAGAACCCGCACCCCGGGAACGAGCCGCTGCCAAGCGGGATTCGAGCGGTTCGATTCGGGGCGAGCCGCCGACTTCGGTGCAAGAACGAAGCTGAAAGCCGTGGTTAACTAGGTCCCCCAGTGGTACCCTTTTACCCTTTTTTTGGGGGAGGGTTTCCCTGCTAAAACAGACTACAGAAAAAGGGTACCCTTATTCTAACCTCTCCACTGGAGGACCTAGTATAGTAAAATGACGGAAAGCGACCTTAGGTATAGGAGTTGGGTTAAACAATAATGACGGAGGGTGGGGGGAGGGTAGTTGGGGCCCATGTTTGGTGGGTCGCATGTGACATGTCCGTTGAACATAGGGCGACAGGCCGTCCAAAGCAACCCAGCAACTTCGCCTTGATAGCCTGCCCAAAAATCAAGGAAAGGGTTTGGGATTCGCATAAATAACGTCCCAGCCATGAAGCGGTCCCTGAGTGCATCCTCTCTTCTGGAGCCGAATGAATGACTGGGACATGATTTTCAGCACGGGTCACAATTAGATGTGAGGAGCGGAAGATGACATTTGTAGGGGCCGGGGGCGTGACTTGGTCGTCACGAGGCCGAAATATCAAGTTTTCCCCCCGAGCGCATGCCAGGCACCGAGCTTTTCTACTCGGGGAAACGAAGAGAGCCGTCGCAGCTCATGAGGTAACCGAGAGTTTATGGGAACCCGCCGCACACCAATCCAGACCACCAACTAGAAGCTGATCAGGCTGTGGGAAATGGAATCCACTGTGATACAACAAAAAGAGCTTTCCAAGGACTACCCCCCATACAAGGGAGGAGATTCCCTGGTATCACAGCAGTGGTTGGATAAACCTCTGATCCCACAACCCTGAAGCTGATCACGTGAGGGGATTCAGTTGGCTGGACCGAGGTTGGCCTTGGGGTTTGTCCGATGGAAAAGGCTCTTTGTGGACGGTGCTTGAGACAGAGCCCAGTTTTACAGGCCTCTCCCATTTGTGGACATGACCATTCAGTTGGGAGGTTTTAGAACATGCTCCTTCAGCACGTTGAAGCGGCGATGCGGAAGGTTAGAGGAGAAGGATACCAATGTTTTGCCATTTTGGCGCTTCTTTGAAATGTCCCACCGTTGTTGTAAACGCCACAAGGGAACGGGGGGGGGGGCGCGGCCGGGCATGTTCGATTCATTACTTGAGAAAAACGGCCAAAATTCCAATCTCCGACTTTTGTGGGGTTGGCCCCATATGGGGGTGTCTTTTTTCCAGGGTTTCCTTTTTTTTGTGGTCTTGAAAGGGGAACACCAGCATCTTGGGGGTCCCCCCAAAAAAGGACGAGCCACCCAACTCCCATGTCTTTTTTCGAGGGTACATTTTTTTTCGTGGTTTTAAAGAACCGACAGTAAAACCACCATCTTGAAGATCCCCCCAAAAAGGTTTTAAGGAACCAACCGGAAAACCGCCCATTCTTTCAGCACCGCCGCCGGCAGTTCGCTTTTTTTGGTTCTTGGCCAGGCGGGCTCAGGCACGGAGAGACCCATAACCTGGAGCAGCAAGACCGGGACTGCATCAAGCAGCACCTCAAGGAATCGGATCGGAGTCGATTGATATGGCTGTGGTCAAAACCGTGGGATCGATCCCATTTCGGGGGTTGCGGGTGAATTCACCACCCATTTTAGGCTTCCTATTTTAGTGGTTGGATTGGGATGTTCACTGGGGGTACAGGATTTTGACCCATGGCCATATGGAGCCCCCCCAAGGAAAATGGTGCAATGGTTGGTTCATATGGAGTGGGAAGATGGAATTTTATGAACAGAAGGGTACGTCCTGTCTGCAAAAACAACCATTTCATACGGAAAACACTAGGGCCCACAGCGCACCCCCTCTCTCCAAGAAATGGTTAGCGCTTTTGGATATACATTTCGGACAGGTTGCCTCCAATCCGATTGGGTGTGCAGCCAAACCCTTCCAGGATTGAAGTTCGATTCAGCAACTGCGATTCAGCAACTATTTTCCAACAGGGTTGCACTTTTTGGCTACCCCAAGATAGACTTGAACCCAGGGGTTCTCCTTTTGGGGGCATGAACCACCCCTGGGTTTAAGTCTACCCTGGGGTAGTCAAAAAGTGGCACCCTGTTTTCCACTGCTCTCCCAAAGATGAATACACCCACCTAAGAGCACCCGCCCAAGAGCACTGTATCCGCGCCTGGCAAATGGTCTGCGCACCCGCTCAAGAGCACCCGCCCTGCTTTTTGAAGTCCCGCATTCCCCTCAACTGGTGGGGAAAAATCACATGGTCGGAAATAAGTCCAGGTCGGAAATAAGTCCAACCCTCCATTTCCGAGTTTTTTTGTTTTGAATTTATTTATGAGGCACCACCTAAGTAACCGTTGGTTGTGGCTTGGATTGGTGGGAACTGGGGCATTGAACCCCTTGATGCATGGAAACCCACTTTCGAAGCCGAACCCGCACGGAAAAAGCTCGGCTTACCCAGCCCCAGGGATAAATGTCGGCATCAGCGCTATAGAAAGAACATGTGTTGGGTATGAGATTTTCACCTGGATTTCTTCATGAATATACACAATTCACTTGATATTATCGTGTATAAGAAGTGGACATCTGATCTAATTCTCTATTTCACCTCTTATGATTGCGTATTACTGTGGATGGACGAAATCCTGCACCACCCAAGAAACCCTGGAATGATTCCTCTGTAAATGCCAACAGACGATGGTTTCAACCATAGTTTCAAAGTGGTGCGAACGGATTTCGTCCGTCCACAGTAGGTGTACCAAGAATAACAGATGACTAAAGAATCTGAGGTTCTTTGAATAATCATACACTAATTTAGTAGTCTTATACTGAGAAAACACCTTATTCTAACCTCTCTACTGGAGGACCTAGGAATTCTCTAATTCACCTCTTATTGCGTACTGGGTATACTAAGAAAACAACTTTCAGTTCTTCTCTTCGAGCCGCTCCCCCGAGCGAAGGCGAAAAAAACGAAGGCGGAATAGTGATCTAATTCTCTAATTCACCTCTCATTGGGTTCCAAGTTCAATTTATTTAACTTCTTCTCTGGTGCATTTTGCCCAGGGATGTTAGGACTGAAATATTTTTTGCCAACGAATGGGGTTTCCGTATTAAACCACTAACAGTTGTTTTCACTTTTCGCAGGGCTTCGCAGAAAGCAACCGAGTGAAGAGAGAGAGAGAAACAGAGAGAGAGAAAGAGAGAGAGAGAGAGAGAGAGCCAGATGATTTGGAGCTTGGCCAATGGGTCGATCGCTGAGCTGTGCCTCTCCCCTCGTTCGGCAACTTTCAGACGTTCGCCAAAGCGAGGACCACTGGGCAGAGGTGGCCCGTGGCATCACGGAGCTGGAGGAGGAGCACTTCGCCAAGGCCCATGGAACGCCGGGCGGTTCTCGACGTCTCGACACCAGGGCGTTTTTGTTCTTCCCCGGTTTGGGGGGGGGGGGAATTTGTTTTCTTGGTTTCTTGGGGCCTGCGGGTGTTTTTTGTTTTGTCCGTGGATAGGGTTGGTATAGTGATACTTGACTGGTCTTGGCTTTTGGTTTCTTTTTTTTGGGTTCTGTCCCGTGCATTGTGGAGGATAGGTTTGCATCGTTCTCCCTCGCCCCAGGCTTTGGGTCGAACAAAAATCGGAGTTCGGAAATGCTTCGACTCTTTGCTGCGGACTCGACAGTATGATTTATAGGAAATCCCATCCGGGGGGTAGTACAAGGGTGGGTGGGTAGTTGAGAGCCGCAGTGTTCCTTAGGGTACCTTACTCTTCTCTGGGGTTCCTTAGAGACAACCCCCCCCCCAGACCTGCTCCCGCCCTGCCATGGTCAAAAGTGACCCCTTTCCTTTGGGGTCCCAACTTGTGTTTGGAAAGGCCATCTCCAATCGGAGTTGCCAGGGGCCCGAAACTGAAAGGTCAAAAGTAGGGATCGATTTTTCGGCTTGGGGAAGTGGAGCACGGGTGGCTATATCCCTCCAGAGCTACGGAACCAAAAACAGTTCAGGGCTCCTCAAACGAGTTTCCGTTTCCTGTATTGATGTTCTACGCCTCGGGCTTCCTTATTCCAAGGGCCTTTTCAGGGCGACAAGGGAAACTGGGGGGGTGGCCAAGAGCAGCATTTCGACTACCCGCGCATGTCATCCCCATGTCATATCGGACATTGGGACAGCATCCACGTTTTAATCAAGAGGCGCTGCTTTCAATGCACATCAATTTTTGAGCATGGCTTGTCTGATGCATATGTAATCGATGCACAAAGGTCAACTTGTGCAGAATTTAGGTGTGTCTCATCAGGGGAACCTCTCTGCATGGTGGTGTTCCTTTCAGGTTTCCTTTCAAAGCATCCAACCAGGGTTGACGCATGGAAAAAAAGCAGGATTGGGGAGCGTGTGATCTGCGCGCGAGCATTAAAGAACTTCAGATATGCATATGCCACATGTAGGAATGGATTTGATATTTGATGCAACATCCATTGCGCGTGTGTTCAACGACATCCCTTCCCGTCCCTCCAAGTGAGCAGCCATGGCTTTAGGGTTCGAGTTGATGTTTGGATTCCCTCTAAGCCAACAAGTGTATATATATATACATATGCATTATCTACCATGACATGTTGCTTGACTTGACTCATCACCCCCTCTGGAAATTCTTGAGGGTCTCTCCTTCCGGGAAGCCGACAAGAGCGTTTTCAAGGCGGTACTTCCAGCAACAGCAAAGCGAAATCCCTGGAGCAAGGCGAATCCCTGGGTGCCCCCCCCCGGCCCTCCGGTACACGCGATTTTGCAGCCTCCAAAACCACTAGCCCAAGCTTGGTTTCCCTTCGGCATCCGGTTCCTCAGGCTCTTAGCTTCTTCGTTGGCTGGGGGTTTTCTCGGAACTTTCCAACCAGAAGTTGAGTTCTCACACTCAGCCCAACCCCACTCCCCAAACAAAACCCATCCCCCCACCATCCCAAAAAGGTCGGGTTCGACACATGGCCACCCAACCCGGGAGCTCAGCGTGAAACTTTTCCGGATCCATTCGAAGGTCCTGAAGTCCTGCACTGGGCCCACGCCTCGGACGGACTCGGGGACTCGGGGGCGTGCCATCTCATTTTCTGCGGGGCTCCCTGTGCCACGTTTTGAGGGGAACCAAAGGACCCCCCACCAATCTTCAAGGTCAAACCAATCTTTCAAGGAAAGCCACAACCTTTCAAGGAAAACCATACATTGCCAAGGCAATCTGAAGTCAAGGTTAAACCAATAAGGGGAAGGGAAGAGACCCCCAATCTTCGAGGTCAAACCGCCCATCTTTCAAGGAAAGTCACCAATCTTTCAAGGAAAGCCACTGATTTTGAGACAAACCCATTGGATTGCTAATACATTTGGGCCAGTTTCAGGATGTAAGTTGGGGGGAATTCCCTGTACTGTTCCTTGCCGAGATATGATCACGGTGAGCAGATATAGATAAGGGAGCCTTTTATGGGCGACTTCCTTTCCTGGGTGGGTTTGCCTCTGCACAAGCTTCACACAAGGGAAAGAACGAAGCACCAGGAAAGAAATCCAATGAGGCGGTTCTAGTATGGGTGTATATGGGTTGGTTGCCTTTGCACAAGCTTCAAAACACGACTGGAAGGGGAGAAAGAGGGAACTCATCAGATGGAGATATCTAGTCGAGTCCTCAACACGCCCGTGACAAGAAGAGCGTGAAGCGAATGGGCGCCGAGGGCGACGCCCTCAGAGGAGGTGGCGGGTGAGATCATGCGGCCCTGGGCTCGGATGGTCGGCCCCCACCCCCCGTTTTTTGGTGGTCAAGGAAGGAAAAGAGCGGTAAAAAGCTCGCTCGCTCGTCTCCTAAGTTTTGGCGAACCGAAGCATTTCTTTTGGGGGGGTCTGCCCAAGAAAAGGACACACCCATTGCCCAAAACCGGGGGTTAGATCACTCGCAAGGGTAGGCCTTTGGTAGCACAGCAGGTCTTGTTGAGACCTTCCCAGCTTTAAGACCAACAGAGGGAGTTGTTTTCCACCGGGCAGGATCGGACGGGCGCCATGCGCATGTTGGTGCTCGGGCTCGGCCGCCTTCGCCAACCACCAGCGCCCAGCGAGCGTCCCGCAGGTTGATGCGCCGTCCACACCAGATGCTTGATACCAGTCGCAGGTGTTCCCAGGCCTAGTTTCACCAAGATCCCAGACCAAGAGTTGGTTTTCATGCGGACGGCCTAGAAATTTCTCTTTTTGACCTCAAGTCTGGGCAGCTTTTTGACTGGTTTCAGGCCTCAGTTTGATCCCCGGCGGCCAGACTTGCCTGTTAAGCTGAAGCAAATTAAGAGGCGATAAGTTTGGGTCCCAGCGTGCAGACAAACAGGAGAGGTTGATGCCCTCAAAACAAACCTCTTGGTTTTGTGCCTACCTTGAACTATTCAACAAATAAAACCCTGGTTGGGGGGGGAGCTGGGAATTTTAAGAATAGCCTCCCAGCACGGGTGTCGCTGGAATTGAGTGAGACAGGGGAATTCCGAAGGCAGCCTTTTTTTGGTCGAGCCCTCATGGTGTCCTTCGTTGCGACTTCCCTTGCACCCGTTGGTTCCTCGGCAGGATCCTTCGAACCCACCCGAAATGTTCCGAACACAAACGCCACTCAAAGCGATGGGGTCGTCTAAGCATTGTCTTTCTGTAAAGCCCGGGGTCCCTGAAAATGGACATTTTGAGGGGTTCTCAAAATCGTCTTTGGGTCCCGGTGGTGTCTCACCATCCGGAGGGCAATTTCGAGGATGTCACTTTCATCCCACATTCTCTACTCACCGGCCCTACTTCACCATTCCCCAGCCCCCAGACCAAGTTGGTGTTCAACAATTTTTCTGGGTCCGGCGAAGGTCGTATTCCTTTTGGTCTTCCTGTAAAGCCATCCGAAAAGGTCTGCCAGAACCAAACGGATATATCTCATGAAAGACACCTGGATCACTAGTTGCGATCGCTTTTTTCGATCCACTTTACCCCAAAAACCAGCAACAGTGACTGAAAAAGGCAGCAACTTGGTTATCTAGGCACACACCCGGCCGTTTTTGTTTGCCTCTTTTTCCCGAATGCGTAGCATGGGGTCTGGGGGTGAAGCCTTGTTCGCCGGATGTTGTGCAACCGTCCGCAACCGTTCGCAACCGTTCGCAACCGTTCGTATGATTGCGCTATGGCTCTCCCAGATGACTTGTGATGTGCTGCTTTCGTTGGCCCTGTGCGCGAATCGTAGATGCGTGTCGTAAACATGTCAAAGTTGGATTTCGTGGCAGGTCCAGCAGTTTGGATGATTTTGAGTTCGTGGCAAGCTTACTTTGCGTGACAGGCGCAGCACTTTCGAGCGCTTTGGTTGAATTTCGTGGCAGGCGCGGCACTTTGGAGCTTTTCGCACAAATTTTGTGGCAGGCGCAGTGCTTTGGCGCCTGAGTGTAGATTTCGTGGCAGGCACGTCACTTTGACTCAGCGAGATCGCTCTCGCTGTGGCGCGGTGCACATTTTAAGCGAACCCTCTGCACACTTTGGGTGGGTCGAATCGCTCTCGCTGTGGCGCGGTGCGCATTTTGAGCGCGCAAAGCGAACCCTCTGCGCACTTTGCGTGGGTCGAATCTCTCTCCTTGTGGCGCGGTGCGCATTTGGAGCCAGAAGTGTCGTTCAGAAGTGTCGCTCACAAGTGATCATTAGAAGTGTCGATTAGAAGTGTCGTTCAGAAGTATCGATCAAAAGTGTCGCTCAGAAGTAGCGGTCGGAAGTGTCGACAGAAGTGTTGCTCGGAAGTAAGTGTCGATCAGAAGTGTTGCTCAGAAGTGTCGACCAGAAGTGTCGAACAAAAGTGTTGCTCAGAAGTGTTGCTCAGACGTGTCCCTCAGAAATGTTGTCAGAAGTGTTGATCAGAAGTGTGGCTCAGAACTAGAACTGTCGATCAGATCAGAAGTGTGGATCAGACTCAGAAGTGTCAATCAGAATTGTGGTTCAGAAGTGTCGTTCAAGAGTGTCGCTCAGAAGTGTCAGTCAAAAGTGTTGCTCAGAAGTGTCGGTCAGAAGGGTCGAACAGAACTGTTGCTCGAAGTTTCGATCAGAAGTGTGCTCAAAAAGTGTTGCTCAGGGGTACCGCTCATTGCTCAGAGGCGTCGCTCAGAAGTGTCGCTCAGGAGCGTCGCTCATGTCGCTGATATATGTGTGTATGAATGTTGCTCGAATTGTTGCTCAGGAGTGCCGCTCAGCAGTGTTGCTGATGTCTTTGTGTGGCTCAGACGTGTCGCTCAAAGGTGTTTTCAGAGTGTCGCCCAGGAGTGCCGCTCAGTGTTGCCCAGAAGCGTTGGTCAGAGGTGTCGCTCAGAAGTGTCGCTCAAAAGCGTCGCTTACATGTGTGTGTGTGTGTGTTTGCTCAGAAGTGTTGCTCGGAAGTGCTGATCAGAAGCATCGGTCAGAAGTGTTGCTCAGAAGTCTCGATGAGCAGTGCGGATCAGAAGTGTTGAGCAGAAGTGTTGCTCCCTCAGAAGTGTTGCGCAGAAGTGTCGCTCTGAAGTATCGATCAGAAGTGTGGATTAGAAGCATCGATCAGAAGTGTCGCTCAGGAGCGTCACTCATGTCGCTGAGATATGTGTGCAGAAATGTTGCTCGAATTGTCGCTCAGGAGTGCTGCTCAGTGTTGCCCAGAAGCGTTGGTCAGAGGTGTCGCTCAGAAGTGTCGCTCAAAAGCGTCGCTTACATGTGTGTGTGTGTGTGTTTGCTCAGTGTTGCTCGGAAGTGCTGATCAGAAGCATCGGTTACAAGTGCATGTTGCTCAGAACTGTCGATCAGAGGTGTCGGTCAGGGGTGTCGATCAGCAGTGTCGAATCAGCAGAGCAGTGTTGCTCAAAAGTGTTGCTTGGAAGTGTCGGTCGGAAGTGTTACTCAGAATTCGCTCAGAAGTGTTGCTCGAAAGTGCGGAAGTGTTTGATAGACATGTCGCTCAGAAGTGTTGATCAGAAGTGTCGATCAGAAGTGTTGCTCAGAAGTGTCGACCAGAAGTGTCAATTCAGCAGTGTTGCTCAGAAGTGTCGTTCAGAAGCGTCGATCAGAAGTGTCGATCAGAAGTGTTGCTCAGAAGTGTCGAAGAGCAGTGTGGATCAGAAGTGTTGATCAGAAGTGTTGCTCCCTCAGAAGTGTTGCGCAGAAGTGTCGCTCTGAAGTATCGATCAGAAGTGTGGATTGGAAGCATCGATTAGGCGTGTTGCTCAGAACTGTCGATCGTGGTGTCGGTCAGCAGTGTCGATCAGCAGTGTCGAATCAGCAGTGACACAGTGTTGCTCTGAAGTGTGCGTCAGAAGTGTTGCTCAGAAGTGTTGCTCAGAAGTGTCGATCAGAAGTGTTGCTCGGAAGTGTCGCGCAGAAGTGTCAGTCTGAAGTGTTGCTCAGAAGTGTCGCTCAGAAAATTGACTTCAGCAGTATTGCTCAGAAGTGCCGCTCAGAAGTGTCGATGAGCAGTGTGGATCAGAAGTGTTGACCAGATGCTCAGAACTGTCGATCAGAAGTGTGGGTCAGAAGTGTCGACCAGAAGTGTAACTCCGAAGTGTCGATCAGAAGTGTTGCTCGGAAGTGTCGCGCAGAAGTGTCAGCCTGAGATGTTGCTCAGCAGTGTCGCTCAGCAGTGTTGCTCAGAAGTGTCGCTCAGAAGTGTCGATGAGCAGTGTGAATCAGGAGTGTTGGTCAGAAGTGTCGCTCAGAAGTGTAACTCCGGAGTGTCGATCAGAAGTCTTCCTCAAAAGTGTTGCTCGGAAGTGTCGGTCGGAAGTGTTGCTCAGAATTCGCTCAGAAGTGTTGCTCGGAAGTGTTTGACAGAAATGTTGCTCAGAAGTGTCGATCAGATTTCTGGGTCGGAAGTGTTGCTCAGAAGTGTTGGTGAGAAGGGTTCCTCAAAAGTGTCGATCAGAAGTGTCGATCAGAAGTGTGGCTCAGAAGTGTTGCTCCCTCAGAAGTGTTGTGCAGAAGTGTCGCTCTGAAGTATCGATCAGAAGTGTCGATCAGAAGTGCGGATCAAAAGTGTTGCTCAGAAGTGTCGATCAGAAGTGTTGCAAAGTCGATCAGAAAAAGTGTCGCTCAGAAGTTTCGATCAGGAAAAGTGTGGTTCAGAAGTGTCGATCAGGTGTTGCTCAACAGTGTCGCTCAGAAGTGTCAATCAGAAGTTGTGCTCAGACGTGTCGCTCAGAAGTCTAGTGCGCGCTGGAAATTCCCAACTTTGTAGTGCAAGTCTAGTGCGCGAAGTGCAGGCTTCCAGTCCCAGCTGGAGAATCACAACTTTTGTAGTACAAGTCTGGCGCGCGAAGTACCAGCTCTGGAAGATTGCAACTTTGAAGTGCAAGCATAGCACGCGACGTACAGGTTTTGAGCTCCAGCTCGAAAATCGCAACTTTGTAGTACAAGTCTAGCGCGCGAAGCGCAGGTGTCCAGCTCCAGATTGAACATCGTTACTTTGTAGCAACAAGTGGAGCACGCAAAGTGCAGTTTTACAAGCTGAAAAACATAGTTTGCGCAGTTGGCTTGATTGCGAGCCCCATTGGCTTATAGCGACAAAATGTTCTCTCTGATTATTGATTGGGCTCGCGCAAAGTGATGTGCATTCGGGTTCGTGGGCTCTGTCTTGTGCTTTTGCTTTTTTAAGGCGGGTCGTAAACCTCGACAGCGGCAGTGCGAGCACCTACTTCGACGCCCGGAAGCCCGGGGGAATAGGAGAAAAAGAGCCACGTGGTCTTGGGGTTATCTCGGTCCCCCAGCTAGGTGCCCTTTCTCACCCCTTTTTTGGTTGGAGTAGACCGCAGAAAAAAGGGTACCCTTAGTGTAACCTCTCTACAGGAGGACCTGGTGTTACGCTCACTTCCTGAGTTCTTGATTAACCCCCAAAAAAAACCCAAGTTTTTCTAGACTTCCCCCAACTTAGCACCCAGTTTTTTGTACAAAGACAACCATATCTGGGGTGGACTTAAGAAACATTTTACATTTTACCTGGGCCTAACTCTAATCATGACAAAGTAGTGGTGGATGGGAATCCCACTTCGGGTTCGCTGAACCGGCGATTTTCCACATGAAATGCACAAAGGAACGGCCGAGACAAGCTGGCGGAGCGGGCGGGTGTTGAAAAAAGGGGTTGACCGGAAAAAAGGAGCCCGGAGGGTTAAATTGGGCTGGGTAAAGCAGGGCTCCTCAAAAATACATTTTGCCCGTTTGAAACATGTTTTGTTCCACCCAAATGAAGGGAAACCACCATTTACAACGCAATGCTCAGGTGTTTAATGCAGGGATCCCGGTTAAACCACCAAATGAAGGACATACTTTTTGAGCGTACCATATTGGCAACACACATTTAGGCTTTCAGGATTCTAGTTGGCGCCATGCCAAGCTTGTCAAAGGGCAACTTTGGTTGGCACCCTACGGATGCCAGAGCCTTCAGAGCGAATTTTTGACGAGGGGCAGGCCAGCACACCACGAGACAGCGCCCAGGAGCGAGCCATGTACAACGCTCGGGATGCAAAAGGGGCGCGGCGCCCAGTGTGGGATGTTTGGGACCAGGAGGTCAGGGCTGAGTTGGTCAAGTCCACTCGAGCTAGAACATCTCTTGATGAACCTGGCTTTTCGCTTCTTCTAAAAAGCTCCTTCAGCCACCCGTGCCCATTTTTGTTTCTCCCCAGTCTCCCGAAAGGTGTGGAAGGATTGGGGTGTGGTTCGGGGGGAACAATCCCCTCCGGACGGGATTTTCCACCACATCAAAGGCTCCGGGGTGCGGGGCACGTTAGAAGTCATGAGTCCCGTCAATTTTGCCCTCGAACTTTTTTCCCTGTGTTTCTCCGTGGTTTCCTCTTTTCCTTGAAAGAGTGTTTTCTTTGTCCCCTGGTTCTAAAAAGGGAATCTACAGTATCACTTCTGGAAATCTGTTCGTGGTTTCCAACTTGAGCAAATGGCTCGGCTTTGGGGACCCATTCTTCAGGCTCCAAAAAGGGGGTCGGTCCGTACGGGTCTGTCTTTTTTAAAAAGACCCGCAAACTAGCGTTGTTGTTCCTTGGGTTTCCAGACCAAAAAGAGGTACCCTCAAAAAAAAAAAGACGCCCCTATTTTTCATATTTCTGGGGTCACGATTTTGATTGTGTTAGGGGGTGATCCTTTAGTCAGGTTTTCCTTTGACGTACCACTAAACGGGTACACGGCCTCGTTCGATTTTGCGCTCGATTCACGACAGGGTGCAAAGGAATCTCCTGCAAGTCGCAAGTGGCCACCGGAACTGCAAGCGGCAAGCCCACAAGACCCGGATTGCTACCCCCAGATCACCCAGGATACACATGGGTTTGTGCAAAAAGGCCAACTAACCAATAGTAAAGTCGTCTTACAGGGGTCTGTGCACTTCCATGGAATCGCTGGTGGGAGGGTTAGATGTTATGAAAAGCTTATATGATCCGAAATGACAGGTGCCCCTTCCTGGAGGGGTTTTCTTCGAAACCACCCTTTGGCAGGGTGACCTCTTTTTCCCCATAGGTCTGGGTCTGGAAACGAGGATTTTCCCCCGCAAATTGGTAGGTTCTGGACAGTAGGGTAGGGGCTGAGCCTTTTGAAGTTTCCCTGGCCCAAGGGATATTCTCAAACGAGGCACCTGACATGGCTCTGGATTGCAATCGCAAACACAAAGCAAGATGGCTTGAAGAACTGAAGAACCTCCCTTCTGCCAGAAAGCAACCTACTTCTGGCATCCGGACCTCCATCCGGGTTGTCAAAACCACTGGCCCCACGATTTCACCATCAGAGTCACTTCGGTTGGATTCCCCATTCTTTTCAACCATCGTTCTTTGCAAAACCCAGCCGTTTGCGTTTCGCAGGATCCGGACACGGTGCGCCTGTGCGGATCCCTGGTGGCGGAAGGTCTGAGTGCGGCTTCGAAATAGGAAACTGTCCGGGTATCCCCGAAGAAGCCTGAAATACATGGCTTGCAGTGCAGCGCCTTGTGTGTGTCATTTCTAAAACCCCGCGGATTTTTTGTTTGAGATGTTTGGTCATTTGAGACCCGGCTTGGAGGATCCGTGCCACACGTCACGCGGCGGCCTCCTGTGGGGTTTGTTGGATGCCGGGCGAACATCCGCATGCCATCTCACACCTTTTGCCCTTTTTTTTAGATGAGCCTGGTGAAAGATGGATGGGTTCCAATGGTTTAGATGGGTTTTGTTCCATTTGCCAGGGCCATCTATGTTTCCAAAAGGCCTATGATCTCACATCTTAGCAGATAAACTGATCAGATTCACACAACATTTGCAGTCCTGGCTCAGGCCCTGCGTTATTGCACCAGTTTTCCCTTGGTTGCAATATCCAAGGGGATCAGAATTTGAATCAAGACCGTGTTTTTTTTGGCCTTCCGTTTCAGATGACCAGATCGTGCAGCCAACTCTGATAGGCGAAGCGGGCTGGTGCCATGTTTCCTTTGAGCAAGGATCATGTGTATGTGTTTTCTGAGGGCACTCTTCTTTCAGCTGGTTGAAAGGGACACCAGAAAAGAAACTACCCGTTCGTTTTGGGGGTCCGCCTGAATAGGAGACACGCCCAAATAGACAAGGCCAAGTTCAAGCCACGCTTTCCAATTGGGAGCAGGTTGCTTGCAACTGGGCTCCAATTGACTGGTGAGAAAGCCAACGGGTTTGTGCCATCCTTTTTTGTTGGCTGAGCCCCTCAAATGAGTGCCAGTGTTTCAACGTGAAACTAGGCCGCTTGACGCGCCGTTTCAGCAACCTTCTGGTTTACGTTAAAAGGGAACAGACCCGCACCCCCCACCCCTCCCACCCCCACCCCCACCCCCCGACCCCCCACCCCCCCCACCCCCCTGGTTTCGTCGAACCTTGCAACTGACTGGTGTTTCATGAGGCCAAGGATCGGTTTAGCCCGCAGGAGAAGGCCCAACTGGCCTCTTAACATGGAAAAACCTCGACCATTTCCAGCCATCGTGCTTTTGTTTGCTTTTGTTTGGTGGTTGGGTCAGGTTTCCATTTAGCTGTGGGTCAAAAATCGGTACCCAACATGGATCTGGCAAGTGGAAACATGGACTAAACCCCGCAGTCCAATTCCTGGCGGATTAATTTTGACCCATACCCATTTTCCAGCCACTGATTTTTGTTTGTTTGTTTGTTTTTGTTTGGTGGTTGGGTCCGGTTTCCATTTAACCCAGGTCATCAGAAAACAGACAGCCCCACCTCACAGTTGAATATTTCTATTCAGGCCTCAGGACGTGCTTGGATGACCAGCCCACCTTGATAAGTGGTCAACACAGCCCATTTACCCTGCAACGCCCCCCAACGTGATCCCAATCATGGTTTGCTTTGTTTTCTGTTTTCGTTCTTTCTTATTTGTGGCAAGAAGCAACAAACCAGCGCTTTTTCTTGGGATTTGTGCCGTTTTACTCCCATCGAATGGGGAGTTTCTATAGGAAGTCCTTCATCCGCTACATGCTCGCATTCCGCGGAATTAGCGCGCCGGCCACGGACCCAAGGGGACGGGAGCGAAATTTAAGGGGGGGGGGGGGGAGGGGGGAACTTGTTTTGGTCTTGTCTCCAAAGTCACTCATGTTTTCTTGTTTGCTGGACTTTAGACACTTTGTGTTTTTTTTTTTTTTTTCATTCTAGTGGTAAACATGAGAGCAGTTACAAGTTGTTTTATGTTTCTGCCACTCCAAAGAGCTCTATTTTTTCCAGGGCGTAGCTGGGATATGGAACGCCTGCTATCTGATTCTGTTTCGGCCATGAAGCCAAAACACATTCCTCTCCTGATCGTTGGGGTTTCGGGACACCTGCAACACCTGCCCAAGAGCCAGGTATTCCCTGGATTTTGAGTTGAACCCCTTGCCTTCTAGTCACCAGACCAACGAGCCAGAAGCATCTTTTGGGTCTGTCCTCAAAAGATCATAGAATAGTAGTACTTCATTTCACGCACGAAACGCTAAGTTTAATCTCTTGTGCATATTTTTGGGTGGATCAGTGGATCCGTGCCTTGCTTCCCCTTTTTCTGGATCTGAACTTTTGCGCAGAGGACGCGAGGGCCAAGCCCACCCTCGGTGGGCTTCTCATTCCAGCCAGTCGCTTTCTTCTGGCGTCTCCTTCTTGGGGCTTCCGCGAAGAAGCAGCTACATGAGGAGCTCTTGGGAGATGTTTTGCTTCAAACCAATGAGGGTGCGTCGTAAAACGGACCCGTTCTGGTGGGTTTCCCCTTTGGCCATTGGGTTGATTTCCGGACTGACTGGATGCACCAAATCCGCCCAAAAACCGGCATTAACGGAAAAAGTCTGAATTCGGGTTGTGGGATCGAATCAAGAACAAAGCCCGGGAGCAAAACGCACGCCTCAAGCGAGTTTTCCGTCGCATCTAAAGCCAGTTTGCAAGTGAGAACTTCAGCCTCAACTCCATTTGGAGTCTTTCCTGGTGTCTTTGGAGGCCCCAATCAGATTGGGTCCGATCCCCCCGAAAAGCGGAGAAAGTCCCAAGTCCTAGGTGCATGGTGTTTTTTCCTTCCCCCGCCCCACCACCACGAACGCCGTTTGTCCAAAACGCAAGCCTCAAGCGAGTTTTCCGTGGAGCCCCCCCCACCTCCCCCAATGAACGCCTTTTGTTTCTTGTTTCTTTGGGTCTTTGGGGGGAAGATGTATGGTCCTTTTGTGTCCCTTGGCTTCGGTCGCCCAGGAAATCGCCGCGATCTCTACAGGCCGAGGGCGTTTGCTTTTTCGGGCGCCTCCAAAGCCCGAAGTCTTCGCAGTGGCTGTGTGGGGGTTTCTCAAAAAAAGGAAAATGAGCCAAGAAGGGTTCATAGGTGTCCTTGTTGGTTGATTTGGTTGAAAACATAGAGGGCCCTGGTTTACCTGGTGGTTCAATCAACCACCAGGGCCATCTATTTTCGCAAAAAGGACACCTATGGAAGGCAACCGTTGGAATTCCTTTGAAGGCCAGAAAGGGGGGGGGGGGGTCCCCAAAGACACCATTTGTTTTTAGTAAAGGGAATCTATCACTACTGCACATTTCTGTTAAACTGAAGCAAATGGAGGATTTGCTTTGGCATGTTGGCTTACTTGCATGGAAGAATCGACCGGGTGGTTCCTCTGGCTGAAAGGAAGCTGCCATGAAACAAACCATTCAAAGCATCCTCATTCTTGACCGCACCAACATCGGTGCCTTTAGGCCAAAACCCGGTTGAGGTTGCAACTGTTGGAGCGCCCTGTTTTATGTAAATCCGTTTCGTGAAAGGATCCGCACCCAAACACTGTTGTTTCCCTTTGGTTTCTTTTTTCACCATCCAAAAAAGGGCTCCATTTGAAAACCTCCATTTTTGTTGGGGTCTTCCCAGGGTGGGCAATCAGACCACTTGTAGAGGCCTTCTGCTAATAAACTGGGGTTGATTAATGTGGAGTCCCCCTATCTTGACACACCCACTTGTAGTGAAGCTACCAAACAAACCGGATTTGGAGTGCCAGGTTCTCAAAACGGCCCCCCCCCCCCCGCCGAGTGTTTGCCCAAAGGGCCAGCCCTTACAAAAGGGTTTTCCCTGAGAGCAAGGAGCACGCTGTCTTCGGGGGATTGGGGGGGTTTCCTGTTGGCATTTTCTCATCTCCGCCGCTCGCACCGAAGCGCAGGCGACTCCGAGACTGAGCAAAGCTCCGACGAGGACCGCCAGGATGAGGCGTTCAAGTGGCTTGGTTCCCTCTGCTAGGTCCCCCAGCTTGGTGCCCTTTTTCAACCTTGTTTTGGTTGGGAGGGTTCCCCTACTAAAATAGCCTGCAGAGAAAAGGGTACCCTTATTCTAACCTCCTAGTCTATTTCAGCGGGGTCCGATTTTTGTTGAGACCTGTGGTTCCGTAGGGCTTGTGATGGCCCCAAATATGGCTGGCTCGTCCTGTGTTGGTTTTTTGGGGGGGACATTCCTGTTTGGGTTGCTGGGAAGCCAAAGGGAACCCACGGGTTGGGGGTTCCCCCAGTTAAAGACACACCAGCGTATCTATATCTATATCTATATATATATATGTATACATAATATATATATATGTATATATATGTATGCATATATATATATATATGCAACCCCCCCCCATGGACCCTGGTTTTACTGCCTTTAGGGGATGGCAAATCTAGAATTTCCAAATTCCTTTTCTCGAAATTTCCAATTGTGGGTCCCCAAAGCGTGATAATTTGGAGCCCGGAGTCCTCCACAATGTCCCAGTATGATACCCTTTGCACATAAGATGTTACTTCAACTAGAATTGGAATTTTGAATATAGTTTAGTATGGATATAGTTTTCAAAAATGTGTTTATGTTCAATTACAGCTTAAACAAGCAAATCCTTTCCAAATAGCAGCTACATGAAAATGTAAATATATATTTTCGGCTAAACTCCAACTAATCTATAACACAAGAAGTTAGATGGAAGTTTTTCCCAAATATAATCCAAGTGGTAAGTATAATCTAAGACGAACACAACTCAATTTGCTTTTGATAATATCAAGCGAATAGAGACTACATCTCAAATATAATGCATATTAAATATGGCTAAACATTCGGAAATTAAAAATAGGATTTGTGTTGTTTACATTCTGGCCCTTTTGTAGCATAAGAAAGGTCCGACATTGAACTTGTTAGACGGTGTTCCAAAGGGAAATTTCAAGGGAAGAGAGGTTCAAAATCTAACACTATCTCGAAACAGGGATTCTAGCTAAACCGTTGTATTTAAAGTTCTATTTGCGCAGGAAAGTTAATTCTATGTCAAAACGTGGAGGTAGTAGATGAGCAAATGTGGACAGGTAGTTGAAGAGGGTGGGGGACGGTGTGTGAACGTACATACATATGTATATCTATATATACACATACATACACACATATATAGTACCCCCAATGCTCCTGCGCCTCCTCATAAAATACTGGAAAATGCACTATCTTTGAGCGTTGCACCTGGCTTTGTTTACCTCCTGGAAAGGGGTCAACATGAGCATAGCTGACATGAAGCTCACCAAAAGCACTTGAAAGTTTGTCTAACCAATAACTTGAAAGTGTGTCCACTGGATCGCCAAGCACTTGAACATTTGCTACTATCGGATGGAAGATTCAATATTGAAGATTACACAGAACGCTTTCCTGAGAATTGTCAATCCTGGCCAAACCCAAATAGCATTCAAGTTATTCTATCACTTGAAAGTGCTTTACCACTGGATTGGGGATCAATATTGAGGAGCCCACAAACCACCACTTTCCTGAGAATCATCCATCCTGGTCAACCCCTAAAATGTTCAAGTTGTTCTATCACCTCGAACATCCGTTATCACTGGATTGAACTATTTCACGGAAAACTTTTCCGAGAATCTTATTGAACACCGAGAGTATTGGGACAACCCTGGAATTTTTCATAATTTTTAACAATTATGGGATTCAAGATTCAAGATTCCCAGAAAATATTTTCTCAGATTCTTGAATCTTGAATCTCGAATCCATAAGTTTTAATAATTTTTAAAAATTATGGGATTCAAGTTTCAAGATTCAAGATTCCCAGAAAATATTTTCTCACATTCTTGAATCTTGAATCTTGAATCCCAGAATTTTTAACAATTTTTAAAAATGTCTGAGTTGTTCTTGTATTCTTGGATGCATTCAAACTCTTTCAGATTGCAGGTGCTGATGTCATTGCTTTTATCACATCTGTATGCATGCATGCGTATCATATACATGTACGACCATCCCCCCAATTTTGACACAAATCCAAGAAGCAAAAAGAAGCATAAAAAACTGGAAAATACAGGTCAACCGCACCAAACCAGGGTCCATGGGGGGGGGGGGTACCACATATATATATATATATATATACACATGCACACTCCCCCTCGCAAAGATCCACGGCTGCTGTGTGCCAGCATCTGTTTTCCAAGATACAAGGCTCCACATTTGACCATTTGAACATCTGGTGTGTGTGTGTGTGACACATATATATATATAAGGCATACACCACTGGAATATACAGGTCAAACGCACCAAACCAGGGTCCAGGAAGGGGGCGGTGGTTACCATATATATATATATATATTCTAGTATCTACATATATATATATATATATATCTACATATATATATACATACCTTATTCGTATATATATAAATACATATATATATATATACACGTATTCAGTCGCGTTAGACGTCACATGTGCCGCGCCAGGGCTCCGGCGACTCGGGGGAAGACGAGGAGGGCTTCTTCTGCCGGCCACGCCGGCGCTCGAATCGATGCCCGGACGCCCGGACCGCGGCGCCAGAAAGACGGGGACTGGGGAACCTAGATGCAATGATCCGGCTTCCATTTTTTTTCTTCTTCTTCTCCTTTTTGTTTTTGTTTTTTGTGTTTTTTTCTTCTCCTCTTTTTGTCCCCCGCCCTTTTCTTTTTTTTTTCTCCTTTTCGTTTTTTGTTCTTTTCTTTTAGAATGCTCCAAACATCGAGTCCACGATCCATTTGGGAGAGGTTTTTGTTGGGGTTTGTTACTTTTTTAATGCTCAAAACATCGAGGCGAGTGTTTTTGGTCCATTTGGGAGGAGACTCACTAATCTTCCCGTGTACATTGCGTTCGACTCACATGAGCATTGGTCAGTATCCACTGTCTTCTGCTGTAGCAAACGGGATGACATGGGGCGCACTCACCAAAAAGTTCATTGGCGTCACTCGCCAAAATCCAATGTCTTTGGGGACGCAGTGAATACTTACCGTGGCTCACCCTTTTCTGCCTGGTGCTGGACAAACCCAATTTTGGCTGGTGTTTAGCACATCTTCTTGGAGCAGCCTTTGTGGTTTTTCAGTGGGCCGGTGTTTCAGAGACAAATTCCTTTTTTGCAAAAACCCTCGCGAAGACCTTAGCTGTTGGGCGAAGATGGGGACCTGTTTGGGATCTGGGTGTGTCTTTGGAGACACGTAATTTTGCAATGGGAGACCCAAGCTCGAGCCGTCAAGCCGTCCAGGGCTTAGTTTCATTGGAAGCACAAAGACGCGAAGACGCACAGCCCTCACAACTTCACCACTTCAGCCGGGCGAAGCTGCGCAGCATCACAGCTTCAGCCCGAAGACGCGAAGACACGAGAAGCTCAGCAGCTTGACAGCTTCACAGCTGAAGACACGCAGCTTCACAGCTTCGGGCTGAAGTTTGAAGCTGCGCAGCTTCAGAGCTTCAGAGCCTCACTTCGATTTCGCACCGCTCTGGCCGCCATTGTCGGATTGCATGAGCAACGCGCAATTTAACTGGTAATTAGTCTTTGGTTTATTTTCAGTTTTGTTGTGAAAGACATTCCTGCCGGTTTCACAACATGCGGGGCTGCAGTCTGGGTGGCAGGGGGCCCCTGACTGGCACCCTGCAATGACATAGCGCTGCAGCCTGCACTCGCGACTGAGCGGCGAGTTGTGATGTAAACAGATGGGTGGAGGGTCGGTAGCGCTTGCCACAAGTTGGCCAAATGATATGGGGAGCAAGCGCGGTGCCGAGACCCCCATAGTTTGGCTCTTCCCCAAACAATCGCTTGGTGTGGTGGTTCCCTGCAGGCCCAGGTGAAACAAGATTCATTAGATGGCACATGTCAAATTTTATGTTTTTTTCGGCATGGACCAAAAAGGGCTGAACTTCCATTTTTCACCCAACCTCTGGGGGGGTTCCTAGGAGGTCAAGTTGTTTGTTTTATTCGCCCCAGATGACGACGTGGACAGCGACCTCATCCGCACCCAAGCAGGGCTGGGCCCCCAGGTTTTCAAAAAAAAAACAAGCTGGCAGGGTGACAGGGTGCAAAGATGGTCAAAACGGGAAAGCCGGGCGTTTGAAAGGGACGCTTCAAATATTTGAGGCTTGCTTAAAAGATAGGTGGTTCATGTTGAAATGGGGGGTGGCCCACAGCTGGTTTTCACACTTGCCCGAACATTCATGGGACCGGAAGTTGCCTTTTGGGCATTTCCCCTGTTGGAAAGAGGTTTCCCATTCGAACATCGCTTGAAGGGTTCATTGGATCAGGTGCAAACGGTGAGTTTGACTCGCCCCCCTAAAGGAATTGTTGGGGTCCTCGAAGAGGCAAAGGTCTTCTTTTGATCGGTTTCTTGGCTAGAAACAGATTGGTTCCACTGGTATAGACGGGTTTTGTTTTATTTTCTAGGGACACCCATCATATTCTACCAAAAGGACACCAATGCCAACCAATCAACTCAGAGGCTCGCGGGGGCCCGAGGATGTGTGCAAGGTCTAAGCAGTGGACTTGGTGCCCTTTTTCTGGAGTGGGGGTTGATCAGTATCGGCCCCCAAATGGGAATGGCTCAAAATTGAAGAGCGAGGAGTACGCGGATTTTAGTCTTCGGTTCCACTTACCAGGGCAACCCATTTTGGCACCGTTTTTTTTTAGCCACAGCCAAATGATGGCTAACTTTTCCCATTTCGTGGGGAATATCATTGGTGGTTTTCCCCCATTGGTCCCATGTAAAAGTGGTCGACCCCATATGCCCATCCAGACCTAGCTTTGAGGCTCGTGCCGCATTGGATCTGACAACTCCCTCTTCTCCGGGCTGGCGGATTTGCCTCCAAGTTGGCTGAACAAGACGGCGGAGTTTTTCCATTCGGGAATCCCCGTTGAATAGGGGTTCTTCGAAATGCATCCATGGTCTGTTTTTGTTTGGAGGCTCGGTCCCTTTTTGGGGTTGGTTTGAGGGACATTTGAGGGAGACCAAAACGCTTGCTGTGGGGTGTTTGTTCTATTTTGAGACAAACCCCATATGAATTTTCTGGATGTATGGAGCAGGCTGCCTCGGCCGACAGCAGGTTCTGTACGCATCTCCAGTGCACCCTGCGGCAGTGGGGTTTCTCAGTTGGGCTGGGGGTGGGGCGTTCGGTGCGGTGCTGAAAGGGTGGATATTGGCGAATGGAAGCGACACGGGCAGATCGGTATATTACGACTTGCATGAAGTGATAGAGACAGGGGAAGCAAGAGAAAAACAGAGAAAGAGAGAGAGGGAGAGAAAGAGCGATACAGATTTTACTGCTGAAGTTCTGTTCGGTCTGGGGATTGTGCCATACAGTATTTCCAGCAAGCAGTACAAGTGTTTGCTGGGCGGGTCCGGTAATGTGATGGTTGGGATGCAGACAGATCTATGTGCCGAACTTGGGAGGCCGGGCTGACACTTGGTCCCCCAGCGCCCTTGCACCTCTTTTTTTTGGGAGGGTTCCCCTACTAAAATAGAATACAGAAAAAAAAAAGTCGGGTACCAACTTATTCTAACCTCTCTACTGGAGGAGCTAGTTGCAATGACCCCCATCGAACCCCCCAAAGACGGGAGTCTGAAAATCCTCGGGGCCTGTCCTTCCACAGCCGGGCTTCTGTGAGGTCCATGCTGACCTTTTGGCGCACCATGGTGCCTTGACGCAGAGACTTCGATTGGGGTCGCGGGGGTTGCGGGGCTCACATGCGGACGTCAAGGGGCCTTTGCTTGGACTGCATTTTCTCCTTTGCTGGCTTTAAGCATCACCTTTTGGGATAAGTAGGGAGTTTCTTCTGGGTTCCGGATGTTAGTGCTCTGCCGGCATGCGCGCTGGAAGCGCATTGTTTTGTCGCCGGATTTCAAGCAGCTAAATGAAAGAAGAAGATTCTGCTTGCCGATTCCTCCTGTTCTGCTGTGCTTCAGCCGACTGAGTCCGCTGGGTCCATGTGATCAAGCTCCCCTTTTGAGGGCCGCTGCTTTGAACACCGCCTTAGGCCATGTTAAAGAAAGCAACCCCCGACCAAGGTTCCCTACTGATGGATGACATCCATTTCGCACTACCGTTGAGACACCTGCGGTGCCGGGTTTTTTGCCAGTCACGAAGACCTGAAAAGTAGAGGAGTCAATATTAACCAGGCGGTTCAAGCAGCGAATCGTCAAGTTCGACTCCGGTTCTGCGTGGCTTTATTGGGTGTACTGGAAACCCAGCTTTTTAAGCCACTTTTAGAAGAGGATCACCGTCTTTTTGGGGTGACGTTGGGTACACTCACCAAATTGCCATGAGGAGATGTGGGTTAGCTCATCACAGTTGGCGCAATGAGTATGAAAGGTGTGGATATATCCGAGAATCTTAAGTCTGGACTGCCGCATTTTGAGCCGTGTTTGTTTGGGTAGTGACCGCTTGGTCCGCCCAGTGCTTGTCCGAACTCGTCAGAACTTGGATTGTCCTCACGGCATATGAAATGGTGGATCCGAAGCCGAAGCATGATTTCCCGAAACTGTATGTGTCGTCATGCCGAGTACTGTGGTTTACTGGACCATCAACACCCCAAGTACCCGAACCAGTGGCAACTGGACCTTTTCGGGGCTTTGTGCCATGGAAAGACTCCTTAAGGCAGGGATGGTCAGCTTGGGACTTAGGGACTTCAGACACACCATGGCCCATTGGAGTCAAGAGAGAGTCAATGGAGTCAACTCTGCATGCTTCCCCCAAAAATCCCCTCTGCCCAGACCCCCCCAAAAGGGAGCCTTTCAAGTTGTTTGAAGGCGATCAGGGTTGGGCCAACGTCTCGTTTCCCTTGTTGAAGGCCGAGTGTTCAAAAGACCTGCTTTTGGTTTGCCTCGTAAGAGAACAGTTGGTTGCTGAAGAACACATTTTGCCACCAACCCTGCAAGTGAGACGATCCACCTGTGCCAAAATGAAGGGAGTTTCTGGGGTGATGATGGGTAAGCCACTTACTAGGTGGTGCGAAATGGATTTTGTCTATCTACAGTATCGTCCATTTGATTAAGATACTTTGAATGTCCCCCCTTGGTTTGGAGATACTCAAAACGAATCCAGGGGGCTTAAGCAAATGGACGGTATGGTTTGTAGTTTTCCCCCTATCCAGGAGATGAAGATGCTGTTCCTGCTGGTGATTTGCTTCGCAGCGGCCTTCCTAGGCGCGCTGAAGGAATTGGACTTACCGGAAACCCTTCAGCTGAGAGGTTCCTCCACTTTCGGGGCGGCAAGGAGGGTATTCCGCCAAGGTGCGGGCTGGTGGTGGTGGTGGTGGTGGTGGTGGTGGTGGTGGTGGGGGCGGCGGCGGCGGCGGCGGGTGGTGGTGGTGGTGGTGGCGGGTGGCGGGTGGTGGGTGGTGGGTGGTGGGTGGTGGTGGTGGCGGGTGGCGGGTGGTGGGTGGTGGGTGGTGGGTGGTGGTGGTGGCGGGTGGTGGGTGGTGGGTGGTGGGTGGTGGGTGGTGGGTGGTGGGTGGTGGTGGTGGTGGGTGTGGTGCTGGTGCTGGTGCTGGTGCTGGTGCTGGTGCTGCTGCTGCTGCTGGTGGTGGTGGTGGTGGTGGTGGTGGTGGTGGTGGTGGTGGTGGTGGTGGTCATGATGGGGTGGTGGTGGTGGTGGTGGTGGTGGTGGTGGTGGTGGTGGTGGTGGTGGTGGTGGTGGTGGTGGTGGTGGTGGTGGTGGTGGTGGTGGTGGTGGTGGTGGTGGTGGTGGTGGTGGTGGTGGTGGTGGTGGTGGTGGTGGTGCAATGTCAATGTCAATGTTTGAACACCTTTTTGTGCTCAAGATTTAACGTAATTCGGCTTAAGGAGGCCTTTTTTTTTTTTACGTGGAACTTTTCGGAGTTCTCGCGGCGATGCTGAGAAAGGACTCGGCTCGAGCCGATCAGGCGAAAGCACACTCTGGTTGCCTGTAGGAAGGCCCACATGGTTTGCCTCTTCCGTTTGTGACATGAATATAACAGCCCGCCTGCCTTTCCAAGGGAGGCTGGTTCATTTCAGTCCATGTTCTCCGTTTGGGACTTTTTTTGCGACCCAAGTTGTTTTTGGAGAAGAAGAAGAGAGAGAGAGAGAGAGAGAGAGAGAGCCCTTCCTTCAAAGGTAAGCCTACCGTCCAAAAGCCCGTTCCCATGTCCAAGAGGCAATGGAAGCTCCAGCCAGATTGAGAGAAGCTTCCCAAAACGAGCCCTCCAAAAAGGGGGATCCGGATCCCCCCAGAAAGACGGCTCAAAGGCAATCTGCCAGACATCCCTCCCTTGGGTTTTGTTTTTGGGGCTCAATTTCCCCTTGGACCTCCAACAGAGAAGATCATTTCAATGGACGCCGCCAGCCAATTCGCAACTTTAAGGGGGATGCCCAGCGACCCCTGCAAGGGAGAGTCTTCTGCGAATCCTGCGGGAAAACCTGGCGAGTACCAGCGTTTGTTCTTCTTCTTATTTTTTGTGCGAAACATGTCTCCCAACATTTTTTCGAGCGCGGCAACACAAGGCATGGGTTTGCTTTTGGTGGCCCGCTGACATTTCACAGTTGTTCTTAAGAGCCGGCTTTGCATCATTTTGCCCGATCTTTGCAGGTATCCGTTGCGTCATTGAACACCAGAAATCTGGTAGCTATGTCCGCTGGCAGGAAAGGTCAACCCTTGACTAAAACAGGAGGTATGGACTGAGGAAAGACTTGCTTCTTCTTAAAGCAACAAACCATACATCATATCTCCCACCAGCCACCAGCCTTGAGTATTCGGAGTCGTTTTTTGGCCTCCAGCCGTCTTCGACCGCTTCATCTTCGAGTCGCCCACTTGGATGCCGACGACCTTCCTCAATGCTCAGATCGCCTTGGCGCGGCTTGGCTCAGGAAGTCGCGGGTCTGGAGGTGGGCTGTGGGAAACCCCTTACCTGGGTGGTCAAAACTATGGACCCCTTGGACCCGTTTTTGGACGGGCCCCGCTTAGTTCCCATGGAAAAGGAAAACTCAATTTGGAGCACCCCCCCCCCCCCACCCGATGGGCGAAATATGCTTGCCAACCAGCTTCGCACTTCCTGGTACCCTCCCGGTGCCCGTTGGTTTGTGGGAGGGAGGGTAGGTGGCTTATCCACCAGTCTTCATGTTCGTTTCGTCCATTTGATGCGATTCTTTTTTTCTCCATCCACAGTATCAAAAGGTAAATTTGAGGAGATCACTTTGACTGGCCCCAATCAAGGTGGTCCTTTCTCTACCCGCTGAACAAACAAGTTTCCATTCAAGTTTCGTAGTGGGTGTATCTCAGAAGAGATGAACTGGTAGCGGTTTCCTGTGGGGTGGGTGCTCTTTGATTCTTTACAAACAGCCAACCCGTGCGATGCCCCAAAAACCTCAACGTGGATTCCTATACCAAAGTCCCGCTCAGGATGGGAGCTCTGCCGGCATTCTTTTTGGCGAGTCAACCGTAGAGGCCAATCCGCCGTTCCCCTGCTGAAGTCTTCCGCACCGCATCAAACCCGGACGGCCCGAGAAAACCCCCGGCGAGTGTGTCCTGCCAGCGCCCCGAGCTGTTCCTCGTGGCATCTCGTGTGAAAAGGTTCACGTCCCAAACAAATTCAGCTGCGGGGCTTTAGGCATTGCGAATCTCCCATGGAGCTGCACTGATTTGTAAGCTTCATGCGCGTCTTGAAGCCAGAACCCCCTTGGAATCTCCATGACTTGCGCGATTTTTTTTGTTGCGAATCTCCATGCGCTTCTTGAAGCCAAAGGTGTTGGGAGAAGCCAAGAAGCAGAGCCTTCTACCCCTAGAGCTCTCCGAAAGTTTTTGTCGCGGAGCCAAGGCTGCTGGTCTCTGTGTACTGCCTTCAGGTCTTTAGCTCCTGCCTCAGAGGATGTGTCGGATAGGTTTGCCCGTTCTACGTCCCAGAAAATAGCACACCCCAAAGGGGCCGCCCAAAACGAGTTTCCTCACACGAGGGCTTCTTGGGTTTCATCTTGTATTTGAAGGGGGGGTATGTTGTTGTTTTTGTTGGGATTAAGCAACACCTGTTTGGCCATTTGTAAGTTTGTTAAGACATTTTGGTTGATGCATACAGGGGACCATTTAGGAACCCCACTCAAGGTGCCCCGTCGCGAAGGCATCGCTGGAGTTGTTTTTTTTACCGATCCTCGGTGGCCCAAAACAGCGGCCAGGGCCATTCAGCCGTGATATTTTGGGATCCCGGGGTCCTGAGAGGCTCGAGTCCCCATCCAGCCTGTGGCGTAGGGTGGCCCCGCTTCCCCGCAGTCTGTCCGCTTCCACTGCGTTTTTTTTTTGGGAGCCGTGGCAGTTCATCCACAAGTTTAGGCCCTGGGAAAAGCCACGGGAAGCAATAAAAGTGAGCCGCGGGGGGATTTTTGTGGTTTTGCCGTTGTCTTTCCGTTACAAGGACCCCGGTTACATCCGTAAGATGCGCGCGGCGTGAGTTGCATACCCTCAAAAGGCGTTATACCGTTATACCCTCATTTGGGCGTGTGCTCATTTGGATTTGGTATTTGAGGTTGGATTCTTTGGGAAGTCCCGAGGAAAGCCGATCCTTTTTTGGAGTATTTTGTCTCAGCCTCCGGACCCCTTCCCCCCCTTCCCCCCCTCCCCCCCGTCCCCCGCCAAGCAGTGCCGAGGTGTGGACCAGCCGATGCACCCTTCTCGATCTGTTTGGGTCAAATGGGGGGGTAGGCTGACCGCTTTTGTTCCGCTTTTCTGGGATCTCATTTTTTTCCGTTTGCGTTTCAAGGCTCGCTGAATCAGGGCAAAAGCTGAGCTAGGATTGTGATACGGTCAAGCATTGGCTTGGCCTTGTTCAGGCATATAGCCAGTAGGTTTAGTGTGGGCCTAGTTTGCCATCACTCCTCCTTTAGGAATCACACACACACACATGCTTGTGCGGTACCCACCCCGCATCGCTGAAGTGAGCTGGTCCTTGCTGAATTGGACTGGAGCCGCTTTCTTGCAGAAGGGATGACCATGAAACGAAGCGATGCAATGGAAGCTTGGGCCGGAAGGAAGGTGTTTCAAGGACAGTGGCTGAAAATTAAACAGGGTGGCCCAACCCGCGCCATGGGCGGCTTCGCATTTTTGTTTTGCCCAGGACAACTTTCTTTCTCAAGGTCTTCCCCTCATTTTTTAAGAGGGGTGCCAAGCTTTGTATCAGGCGCACAGGTCCGTAACAGGAGCTTGCAAACTCGGGCGTTTCTCAAAATGAAGGTGGTCCAGCTTTCACAGATATGGCGGCCTCTTTTGTTTGTGGTGCCGAACCCAATTTCTAGGAGGGTTTCACGCGTCCAAAACCTCCCACGTGACCCTTCTTCCCTTGCCTAGCCTCCCATATTGCTTTCTCACCTGACGGAAACTCGCTCCAAAAGGTGCCCCAAAAGCCCAGCAGTGGATGCCGTGACTCGGCTGGGTAAACATCTTACTCTATGGTTCTGCCCCCACACCAAGGGACGAGCCCATGTTTTCCCCATGTCCTTTGCAGCCCGTTGGTTCGTCCCCCCCTCCCTTTCTTCAGCATGTTCTTTGGGTTAACCCAGAACAACGTACTCTGAACGCAACATCCGAGAATAGGAGGGACGCGCCCACCCGCCCAAACCAAAATGGCTTCGGTCTTCCTTTTTGGCTTCCCCTGAAGTTCGCAAGAACGGGGCAGCCTCAACTCCCGCTTTTGGGGTTCCTTCTAGGTCGAAGCATTTGCGGAGAACTGGGAGCCCGAGCTTTCCTTTTCCTTGCTTGACGGGAATAATCCCAAGAGTCATCCAGCTGGTGGCTCCCCTTGGGGATGATCAATCCGGCCGGTGCCTTTTGGGAACTTCCTGGTTCATTCCGAGGGCTCGGAACGTCACGGCTCGTTAGGTACTGGCGCGAGGCGAGCCACGGGCTCAACCGCTGCGCCTTCCTGGTGGGACGAGCCTTGGCGCGGGGCCCAGGACCCGAGAGGAGCCGCGGCAAGCGGTCCGCGGCAAGGGTGGTGAGAAAGCGAAAGCGGGTGTGGGGTGTTTGGCGTGTTTTTGGTGAGGCTCAGGGTTCCATGTTTCTTTTTTTTTCGGGGAAAGCAAGGGGCAACCCAACCAAGAGCTTCTTTTTTTGTGTAAAGGTTTTGTCAAGAAAGGAGCCAATGAGCGAATGGGCACGAGGAAATTGAGCAGCACGATTGGCCAATCTCGGGGTTGCTGAACGGATTTTTGGGCCACGTGGAAAAAAAACTACTGACGGCGAAGTGGGTTGACAGAAATGAGCGGCGCAACACGCTGCTCTCCCAAGGAAACAAACATTTTGACGCCTGTGCCTTTGAGCTCTTGTGGTCCAGCCAGAAACTGCCAAGGCCAGAGGCCATGGCTACCCCTCCGCCCCTCTACGTATGAACCGGTGGTGCACTCGCTATATGGTAGTTTCAAAAAAGCCCAGCCCTCCCATGCGGGGCCAATTTAGTTTTTGGGGTGGAAACGAAGCACTAGGACCCAAGTTTTTCTTGGTGCAACAAGCACTTTGGATACTTTCCCCAGGTTTTGGGCTTCATTCTTTCAATGCTTGATGTGTGCTTCTTTCTTAGTCGCCTTGAGAGATCGATTCTGCTCTTTACTGATGGTGACCCCCATATCAATCAACCCCAGTTTATTGATAGGGGTCCCGGTGTCCCTGGGTTTAGTGGGGAATCAGACCAGGCCAACTCCCCTCCCCATGAATTAATGTGGGGTTGAGCAATATGGACCAGGCTTTTTGGTGGGGAGTCATCACACCCCCCTAGTAATAAACTGGTTGGTTGATGAATCTGGGGCCACCATTCCCAGGCTTGATTTTGACACACTCCGTGACCGCGTGGTGCTTGGGTTGGCTTTTTGCCGAGGTGGACACGCTGGACTGGTGCCTTTTGCCGCCTGCTCAATCAATCGAAGGTGTTGGGCCAGGGGCGGGGGGGGGGGGGGGGGGGCAGGGGCAGTAGTCCCAGTGTTTCCCATTTTTGTGTGTGTTTAAACATCACGTTTGCAAGGGAACATACTGAAAGGCGGTGACCTATTTTTGCAAAACGCGAGTGCCCTGAAAAAGGCCGATTCGAGTAGCTGAAGGTTTCGGTGCCCAATAGGTGCGGCAACCCCTTTCGTGCCTGAAAAACGGCCCGGTGTTGGGCCCCTGTAAAGGGGACCCTTCCAAAGTGGCGTTGGTCTTCCTTTTGGTTTCCCTTCCAAACCAGAAAACATGGCTGCCCTGCAACAAAACACACGCACACACCCATTTTGACACGTGCCCGTTCGGTGAAGGGTCCCTTGGGCAAGTGGAAGCCATATCGAAAGAAAGTCGGTGTGTGTGTTGGTTTTGCGAGGGTGCCCCTTTTTAGAGTGGTTTTAAAAGGGAAACACAAGCACCCCTGTTTTCGACACACACACACAGGCACACACACACACAGACACCCAGACAAAGTTTTTCAGATGTAGGTGTCTTTTTAGGTTGTTTTGGTAGAACATTGGCGAACCCTAGTTGACCTGGTGTTTGATAGGCCATCTATTTTACCAATGCTTGCAGAGGACACCTTCAAAGTGGAGGTTTTTCAGAGAGCGGACACCTCTATTTAAAGAGCGGAGCCAGTAGCCTTGAGTTGACTGGAGCCTTTCCGCCGCTGAGAATGTTCTTCTTCGTGCTGGTCTACTATGTCATTGCGAGAAGCCCAGGGGAGCGGCGGGGGAGTGGCGGCTTCAGGGGTTCTCATTTCCCTCCACCGGAATCCAACCCGCCCTTTCCAGCCGTCTTTGTTGGGTTGGGTGGGCGGGTGGGGGGGTGGGCAGGGGGCATTCTGAAGGTGGGAATACCTCAAGTTGCAAGCGAGTTCTCTTGTCAACTCTCCAGTGGACAATTCGTGGGTTAGGGGGTTTGGGACGAGTCGGGGACGAGCGCAACCATAAACGCCCGACGAAGCCCGACAATTTGTCGCAGATCATAGATGGTAGCCCAGATGTTGCAGTTGGACCCTAGCAAATATGGGTGTGTCGTACAACAATTGGGTGTGTTTTTCATTTTTCTTCGGATCCCCCAAATGGGTTTCCTAACGGTTTTCCTTTTGGCTCTTTCAACACTTGGCGGTTCAACCAGCGAATCGTCCCGTTCCCCAGAGGTGTTTAGCTTTCTTTTTTGGGTTGAGTGGTCGGGTTCCTAAATGATCCCACTAAAAGATGTCCACTTTTAGCAGGGAAGCAGAAAACAGACGGCCCAGGTGTTCTCTTTGGTTCTCAGACTTCATTTTTGCTATTGTTCTCACGTGGGCCGCCGTTCTTCTTCCTTCTCAGGTTTTGTTGGTTCCCTACCTATCGCACCGACCGCAGGAACAATTATGTGTGCCATGATCAAAAGACACCTTCATTGGTTGCTAGGGATCATGTGTTTCCTGACACCGAACGTTTCACATAGGACGACTAGATTGTGCTACTTGGCTTGGGATAGGATCCTTTTGCCTCGAATGCTTCGAGTGAGGCCCAGCCTCTCCTCACGCCCGGCAGCCCAGCTTCGGGTGTGGGGAAAAGGGGCCAAGCGAGGTTTGAGGCCAGAAAGAAAAGGGGGTGGCTGCACAGTTTTCCGTTTTCTGTTGTTTTTTTTTTGAGTTTGGTGGAAGAAACCGATGGCCTCCACCGGTTCCAGCGAGGTTCGAATTCCTTAACTACCAGAGTTTTCATTTTGTCTTGAAATGGGCTTGTCTGGAAGTAAGGATGCGTCACATGCAGTCGGATGGCTGCCAAAACTCCAAGCCCCTTGGGCGTTTCCACGCGAGCAAGTGCCCCATTTCAATGGCTGGTCATTCAAAACCGCGAGGATTTTGTTCATCCCAGATCTTCTTTTCAACGAAACGGCCAACACGAAGCTCGGGCTTCGTTTTTTTTCTCCCCCCCCGAGGCTCATCCGATCCTCTATCGGGGGCTGCTCATTTCTAAGGGCTCCTTTTGAGAGAATCTGGTGACGGTTTAGGACCCAAATGATGTCCGTCAGTCCCGAGTGAAGAATCACACCGGTTTCACCCATGCTCTGGTGATACATCATACATCTTTGCCGGGGTTCTTCGACGTTGCACTTCGGGGTGAAAGTAGATTGCAGGATTCCCTTTATGTGGATGAAGGGCGTACCCAAACCAAAATGGAGAAATGCGCCTAAGCCAAAATGGAGAATTGCGCCATCTGCTTTCACGCAACTGTAGCGCTTGGAAAGGAATACCCCTCCTCCCAGTAAGATGACACACCTGTGGGGCTGTACCTGGAAGATCAGTTTCCTCTCCAAGGTACCATTTCTCTGTCAGGTGCCTCCTAGCAACGTGGGAGGGAGGGTAATTACCTGAACCCGACACATGGGTCTGCTTATCCCTTGTTTGGTTGGTGCAGGGAAACCAAAAGGAGCAGCACCAACTGCACCTGGGGGGATTGTTTATAGGGGTCATTCCCTCACCCTTTTTGGGTTCCCTGACCTCTCCCTGATCCAAATTCCGTATTGTCTCTTTTTGAGGGGTACCCCTTGCGTGGTTTTACATGGAAGCCAAAAGGAAAACCCACCCTTTTCGGCGGGTTCCCCTTTCCCCCGATTGAGGTTTCCCTGAAGTGAGGGGCTAGAACGCCCGGAGGCAGAGGTGTCCCTTTTGGTTGTGTTGCTCGAACAAATAGAGTGGGTATCCCTGATATTTACCTGGTTGTTTTTTCTCATCTACCAGGGGCAACCCATCAATTCCTAACCCAAAAATTGGACCCCGATGCCTCGAGGTTCATCATCTACATGTGGCCCTTCGTCCTGGTGGCCTATGTTGCCTCGGGCTGGGGCTACGCCATCTCCTGCGCCGCGAGCTGAGAAGACCTCGGTCGCTTCAACGTTTCAACGTGGGGAAAAAGGCGGCGGATCTGGTTTCCCTTAGCCAGATTTCACGGGCACCCCCCAAAAAGCACAGAGAAATCCACATTGTGGGTCTGTCTTTCTTGAGGATACCTCATTTGGGTGGCTTCAAAGAGAAGCCAAAAAGGAAAAGCGACATCCATCTGGGTGAATTATAACAACCTCACGCGAACGAATTCGCCCCAAATGGTGGAGTATGTGGGGAATAGACCCCAAATCACCTTATTTCAGGCTGGCGAAATATTAGAATTCACCCAGCTCCGTTCGAAGTGGACGAATGGAAAAGCTTTGCGCGGTTTCTTAAGCAACTTAGCAGGAAAGAGAAGTCAATCTGCTCAAGTTGCAGAACTCTGGTAGATCAGATGGCACTGGGTGGGGATGGGGGGAGGCCATTTGTGTATGTATAATATGCATATATATATACACATACAAATATGATTCATATTTATTCTGGATGTATCCGATAAAACAAATCAATGGCTCATGTTGTATTTGTCAGGGACGCGGTGTCCCCCCTTTTCTTGTTCGGGGCACCTGGCTTCCTCGAACCAACCGGGGGGCCGTTTGCCCGGGGGGTTGGGTTGCGGGCCCTCCGAGTTGGAGTCCTTCCCAAAGCCTTCTCGGCACCGAATCGAATCCGCCGCATTGGGGAAAATCCGATGAAACTCTTCCCAGTAACCCATCCCTTTTGGGTTTCGACGAAAAATGCGGGAATCCATTTGTTGGTTCCGGTTCATTTTCAACCAACACCCTCGGTTCCAGTCGTTCCCTATCGCACCGGCATTTCTTTTTGGCGCCTCCAGCACGGGGATGGGAGCCACGGATTCAGTGCTCAGCAGGGAATGACCAAGACCCAGGTGTTGGGAATGAACCGGAAAGGGATCCCCGAAGAAAGGAAACCAAATCGGGGCTAGCTTTTTGTTCTTTCTCTGAAATCATTCCATTTTCTCATTCTAGCTGCCTATGGACCAGCATAGGACCCCCCCCCCTCACCGCGGGATTCGCATCCAGTGCCTGCCGACGTCGATGGGTGCCTTCATCAGCGCCATTTTGGCCTTCGCCATGGGCGGCCGGGACCTCGGGACGCGACAAGCAGAAAATCGCCTCGGGGGTGGTGCAACGGGTTTCGGGGGCGAGGTGAAACGGAATTTTGTTGTTGGGAGGGGCCGTGTTTTTAGGGCGGTGCGACGGGAAACCTGGGGGGTGCTATGGACATGGATTTATTGGGGTGATTTTGATCGGTGTTGAAAACTCGATGGGTTCCCCTGGATCGCCAGGTGCGATCGCTTCTCTTCTTTTTTTCCATCCACTTTGCCCCAAAAACCGATCGCAACAGTGACTGAAAACAGCGGCAACTTGGCTATCTAGGTGGTTTAGATGGGTTTTCTGCCATCCGTTGACCAGGGGAAACTGAGCGGTTTTTCATCCAACGGTTGTCTGAGGATCTCCGTTTCTGAGCGTTGGGGCTTTCGGCTAGGATCGACAAGGACCCCAGCATGGAAGCCCAAAATGAGTTCCAATGATACCAGACCACTTTGCGTTGAACACATATGAAGGGCACGGTTGGGCTGTTGATCCCATCAGCCATAGTGCCATGTTTTTGAATGGAGCCCCGCCAGGTTGGATGTCTCACATGCAGTTTGGCTTGTTTAGATTCCTTTGGTTTCCCTTTGGTTCTAGTCATTTGGTGCCAATCTTGCCAAAAATAGCTGAGCCACAATCAACCCCTGCGCAGATGAAGCGAACTGACTTAAGTAGGCGCGGCCGCGTTTGAGTTTCCCCGCACTCTCATTTGAGCAGCGATCAAAAATGCTCAAAGCAATTTAAGTAAGGGAGCGCTGAAATCAATCCGCGCGGAAGGTTTTCCGCAGGCCGCGGAAGCTTGCGGAAGGGCCGGCGGAAGTTGACTACGAAATTTGCGCAGCGGAAGGGCGCGGAAGGGGAACATTTTTGGAGCGTCAAAAGGTGTAGAAATCTCAAACAAATTGTTTTTGCTCCCGGGGCCTAAAAGCGATTTGTTCGGGCCAAACAAATCGTTTTTGCTCCCGGGCGTAAAAACGATTTGTTCGGGCCGAACAAATCGTTTTTGCTCCCGGGCCTAAAAACGATTTGTTCGGGCTAAACAAATCGTTTTTTGCTCCCGGGCGTAAAAACGATTTGTTCGGGCATTGGCCTCACAAGCTGTTTTGGCCGTCACCCGTAAGAAGCGCGCCGAGAGGAATCAAGCCTCTTAGTTTTCTCTTCCGTGCGGGCAGCTCAAACTCCTTTTCCAAGTCACCACGGAAGCTTCTTCTAAGATGGCCGGCTGGGCCGACATTTACTTTTCAGTTGAACCGAAGTGGTTTTTGCTCCCGGGCGCAACGTTCGGGCCCAACAAATCGTTTTTGCTCCCGGGCCAAAAAACGATTTGTTTGGGCCCAACAAATCGTTTTTGCTCCCGGGCCTGAAAAACGATTTGTTCGGGCCCAACAAATCGTTTTTGCTCCCGGGGCTGAAAAACGATTTGTTCGGGCCCAACAAATCGTTTTTGCTCCCGGGGCCAAAAAACGATTTGTTCGGGCCCAACAAATCGTTTTTGCTCCCGGGGCTTAAAAACGATTTGTTCGGGCCCAACAAGTCGTTTTTGCTCCGGGGGCTTATAAACGATTTGTTCGGGCCCAGCAAATCGTTTTTGCTCCCGGGGCTGAAAAACGATTTGTTCGGGCCCAAATTGTTTTTGCTCCCGGGCTGAAAAACGATTTGTTCGGGCCCAACAAATCGTTTTTGCTCCCGGGGCTGAAAAACGATTTGTTCGGGCCCAACAAATCGTTTTTGCTCCCGGGGCTGAAAATGATTTGTTCGGGCCCGAAAAGTCGTTTTTGCTCCCGGGGCTTAAAAACGATTTGTTCGGGCCCAACAAATCGTTTTTGCTCCCGGGGCATAAAAATGATTTGTTCGGGCCCATTTGCTCCCGGGGCTGAAAAACGATTTGTTCGGGCCCAACAAATCGTTTTTGCTCCCGGGGCTGAAAAACGATTTGTTCGGGCCCAACAAATCGTTTTTGCTCCCGGGGCCAAAAAACGATTTGTTCGGGCCCAACAAATCGTTTTTGCTCCCGGGGCTTAAAAACGATTTGTTCGGGCCCAACAAATCGTTTTTGCTCCCGGGGCTGAAAAACGATTTGTTCGGGCCCAACAAATCCGGGGCTGAAAAGCGATTTGTTCGGGCCCAACAAATCGTTTTTGCTCCCGGCTCCCGGGGCTGAAAAACGATTTGTTCGGGCCCAACAAATCGTTTTTGCTCCCGGGCCTGAAAAACGATTTGTTCGGGCCCAAATTGTTTTTGCTCCCGGGGCTGAAAAACGATTTGTTCGGGCCCAACAAATCGTTTTTGCTCCCGGGGCTGAAAAACGATTTGTTCGGGCCCAACAAATCGTTTTTGCTCCCGGGGCTGAAAAACGATTTGTTCGGGCCCAACAAGTTTTTTTGCTCCCGGGGCTTTTGTTCGGGCCCAACAAATGAAAAACGATTTGTTCGGGCCCAACAAGTCGTTTTTGCTCCCGGGGCTTAAATGATTTGTTCGGGCCCAACAAGTCGTTTTTGCTCCCGGGGCTGAAAAACGATTTGTTCGGGCCCAACAAATCGTTTCTGCTCCCGGGGCTGAAAAACGATTTGTTCGGGCCCAACAATTGGCTTTGCTCTCAGGGCTGAAAAAACGATTTGTTCGGGCCCAAGAAATCCGGGGCTGAAAAACGATTTGTTCGGGCTCAACAAATCGCAATTGCTCCCGGGGCTGAAAAACGAATTGTTCGGGCCCAACACGTTGTTTTTGCTCCCGGGGCTTAAAAACGATTTGTTCGGGCTAAACAAATCGTTTTTGAACCCCGGGCCTTACATGCGTGGAGATTGATGTTGGGCTGAACTCGCGGAACACTGGAGGAAGGTTGCGGAAGGACCGCGGAAGGGTTCCGTGATTTGGATGACTTGTGTGCGATGTGTTGTTCTCGTTGGCCCTGTGCAGGAATCGTAGCCGCGGTGTGTCGTGAGGCATCACGTTTGCGTTGCAAATCTATTGGGATTCGCGTTTCAGGGCTCGTCGTGACCCATAAACCATTTGCTACAGCCGTCTACTGCTCGCAACAGAAACTGGATGGCTCCACGTTGCACAAGGATGCCTAAAGCACAGGCTCGCAATCTCTTCAGGGCTTCCCCAGCATGGCTGTTTCACTTACCTGTTTCTAGCGTCCAAGCCGCCAAATCCAAAGCCATGGGCCGATCTGGCCTCATCTTCCGTGGATCTAGTTGTGTTGGCTTGGCAAGAAAGAGACGCAAGCCGCGGAAGGCGCGGAAGGGAAATGAGAGTGCGGAAGCAAACGCCCGCAGCGCGGAAGCGCGCGGAAGCACGCGGAAGCGCCAAATGATATCATCGCAATTTGGCCTATTGATTTTGATCACCGCTCATTTGGGTAGACCAACTCAATACCAGGTTTTGCTTGATTTACGTTGAGTTTTACCCACCGGTTTCAGTTTGCTCCTGGGTTTCGATTCAAATCCATCCACCCGAATCAGGCATCCTGGGGCTCCCCATGCAGATGGGGGTCTTCTTGAACGGCGGCATCATGGAAATTCTGGTGCGCCTTTTCGTCGCGGCGTCGCGGCATCGTGGCGTCGAGTCGGGTGGGTGACCCATCCGTCGCGAGCTTTTTATCCGCTGTCAAGGCTGAAGGTGAGCTTAAGGCTTGCAGGGGACTTCAAGCGAGCTTCACAAAAGTTGCAGGTCCGGTTGTTTTAACCTTTGAGGGGGCAAGGGGGTGGTTCCAACCAAACATGGGAGCTGCGAACCAAAAAGGAGGAAATCCAAGAGGAACGCCAAAAGGGACCCAAAAGCAATGGTCCCCCTTCGACGAATTTTGGGATAAAGAAGCATGCCTTTATATCCCAGACGCCAGTTGGGTTCAACTGGGCAAATCACCCTGTGTGGGAGCCTCTTTTTGGCACCGCAGGAAGGGGCTTGCTGCCAGCATGTCAGCCCCAAGGAGAGTCCCTGACAGAGTCGCCGCGCGTTTTTTTTTATTTATTGTTTATTTTTTTCTTCTGTGGTTCTAAACCTCGCTTCGAATACTCAGTTGATGTGAGAGTTTCTGTTCGGTTTGGTAACTTTTGTGGAGAAGTCGATCTCGTGCTGCGGGGTTGGTAGGTTATCGATTTGGTGCAACCGGCTTGGCTTGATCTGGTGCATTGCAGAGCCTCAAAAAGAACGGCGTGTGATTTCGTCTTGGTGATTGCCTGTCTTCAGAAGTGCAAGGGCCCACTCCCTTTTGTTCATCCTGACGGTGTTTCTCCAAGTTCCCAACGAACAAACAACTTACATAGGTATGTGTTCCGCCGTGCATTTCAACGCTACCTTTCCTTCCAAGCATGTTCAGCCCTTGCCCCATTTGGCTGTGGGTCAAAACAAATGCACCCATTTTAGAACCTATTTTGGTGGGGATTGAATCGGATGTTCACTGGGGGGGCTTTTGACCCATGGCCAAATTCAAGCCCTTGTCCAGCCCCGGCGGCAGACCAGAGCCAACCATTCGTCGATTCAGGTGGACTGCATCTCCTTCACCCGCTGGAGCGTGCCCATGGGCTTCCTGGCGCGGACGAGCGACCGAGTTTCCATCCGATGGATCCGAAGGATTCGAGGGTCCCGGGTCGAAGCCCTCAGCTCCAAAAGTGGCCATGGCGCCTCAATGGAAGCCGCCGGTGAATGGATACCTGGCCGTTTTTTTGGGGGTCTTTATCCGAAGGAGAAGGTTGGGGGGGGGGTTTAGATTTGGGATTTGGAGCAGGGCTGAGAGGTGAGCTCGAAACAGCATACCCAAGGAAGCTTCCTTTGGTTGTTTTGATGCCGTCCATTTACCAGGGGAAGCCCATCTATGTTTCGTCAAAAGGTCACCCACGTCTTTTGGCGGATGCGCTTGGGAGGGGCGGCGTGTGTCGCGTGGCCTGCGTGGCAATTCATGAGGATTGCGCGGTGCAAACGGCGCTCGCGGCGAGTGTGGACACATTGTTGCATTTTGCTTGGATGCTAGGACTTTAACTGACTTTTAGCCGGGGAGCAGAAAGCCGCCGATTTGAAAATGTGGAATTCTGGCGGCACAGTCATGGTAGCGGTCTGCAGGAGTACAAGCAAGTTCAAGCAAGGCACAAACACGTGTGTGTGTGTGTGTGTGTGTGTGTGCTGGCTGTGTGTGTGCTGGCTGTGTGTGTGCTGGCTGTGAGCACATTTGCGTCATGCAATGTTCAACAGGTGCACCGCAGACCAGGCGAAACTGTCATGATTCCCCGGGCTTTGAGGATCTGTCACCAAGCTTGAAAGAATCTTATGACTCTGAACACAAAGTTCATGCTAACCACACTTTCTTGTCGGGCACACGTTTTGGGTGACCCCTATGCATTGCGTTTTGTCTGACTCGGCCAGGCGTCGATCGAGATGAATCCTCCAGATCCGCAGTTCCTGCCCGACACCGACAAGTGGCAGCTGACGATGTGCGCCGCGAGAGAACTGATCCCCGCCCCCCACCCCCCGCCCTTACCCGGCGGTTTCCTCGTGGTTTTTTGAGGGTTGAGGGAGGGTTTTTCTTCTCCAGGTTTTCTGGAGAAACCAAAAGGACGCTACCTTTCGCGATTCGCCCTAAATTTGGCACGTACTCAAATGAGGGTGCATCCTCGCTTCGTGGCCAAGCAGGATGACGTGCTGACTGCAGACTATGGAATGTTGGAGCTTGTGACCAACTAGCTGGCCAAGCTTCGGGACGGTGGTATTTGTGGAAGAGGAGTTTGTTTCATTCGGGAAAATCGCAACCTCATTGATTTCACACACTGACGATTCCTTTCATAGGATTTATAATTTTGGATGGGAATGGTCATTCCGTTTTCGAGGGGCTGAATAATTGCTCCCAGTTTCCTTCTATGCCTGGAAGTTCGAATTACTTAAGCCTTTGTGGTAGATGGGCTCCACTCATATGTGATTAGCACCACGCGGAAACCAGTCGCATTACTTCTGTTTCGGATAGTGATGCGACTTGAGAGGCAGACATAGGCAGAAGTCTCCCCCTTGCAATCAAGCCTCAACCGGGTCGTCGAAATGCGGGTGGCAAATTTCCGGCATGTTTGCAGCCCTATGTTCCAACTTTCCCTGGACCACCATCTACCGCTTTACATGACACTGAGAGTGGTACAAGGCCAGCTCTGGAGAGCATTTGGGCAATTTGGAGCATCAGGCATTATCAGGGGATGTAGAGTTGATCTCCTGAAAAAACTGGGGGTCCCTTAATGTTTCAAGAGCTACGACACCCAGCGCGCAGTTGAGTCAAACTCAGTTCCCGCGCTTGCCGGCTTGGTCGGCAATCACACGCCCGAAACCACCCGATGGCGCTGTGCCCATGGGGCTTGGGGCGTTCCGCCCCACGCCGATACATCTGGTAGAACCTCCCCCAGGTCCGGGACACATTGGGCCAGCCCCGCTCGGAAAGGCAAGCCGAGGGTAGACGGTTTTTGAGGTTGAAGGCGGGGGGTTCCGCACAGGACATAGTGGCAGGGATAGCGCGTGGCAATCTTTGTGGTTACGATGTGGGGGAGGTAGATGTTGATATGATGTATCCCATCAGACAATTCCATTTTTGGCTGGTTGCGCAGCACATGGGGTGGTTTAACGCTTTGCAGCCGGCCCCGGTGGTTTTCAGGCGAAGTTTTCTGCGACCAAAATCCCAGATTGCACCTCTGGTTGGTTTCGAACAACCTGGAGCCCGGCTTCCGGCCTGTTCCCTGACGTATTTCTCCCTTTGCCAGAGATCTGTTTTTCTTTGGCGGGTTTTTGCGGCACTGCATTGGTTGGAAGTGTGGCTGGGTTTGGCCCCCCAATTCCTTTTGAAGCCAAATGGGGAACCACCAAACCAAACCATCAATAGGCATAGGTGTCCTTTTGATTGTTTAGCTTCCACTGTTTGAGATTGGTTTGTGCCCCTTTTGCAAGGGGAAACCCTTCGATTTCTCCAAAAGGTCACCTTTTCTGAGCTCCATTTCTGAGCTGGGCTTGCTCTGCTGGATCCGAGCATCCATCTTTGAGGCTTTTGCGGGTGTTTTTCTTCTTTGAAGATGCTTGTTCTTGGGAAACCATCATTTTACATTTTTGATCTTATTGTGGGTTTAGTGGAAAACAAATCCAAATCCACTGAGCTGCTAACGTTTGAGAAAACGTTTGCTGCCCAAACCCAACGTCAACCAAGCTTTGTCGCGGCCGTGTTGAAGCCCAAAGCCCCCAGGTACGAAGACGCGTACCGCGGGTGGCGGCCCTGGGGCCTTTTGGCTTGGGGCCATGCAGTTTCCCCCGAAAGGCGTTCTTTTTCTTCTTCTTTTTTTTCTCCTTCTTCTTCTTCTTCTCTTTGTTTTTTCTTTTGGGTTGCAGTACTCTTTCGCCGGACTCAAGAAGGGAAACCCATGGGCGTTAGACACACTCACTATGTCTTTGGGAATGCAAAACCGGCGCCGAGCTCGATTTGACTGGGGACGGGTCAAGAGGAGGCTGGGAAACTCCGTGAACGAACAAGAGGGAACTTGGGATTAGCAGTTCCCCATTTGGAAATGCAACTTTTTGCTCAGGTGGGCTGTGTTTCCCCGAATTCGCGTGTCGTGGCGGATCGTTTCACAGCAAGGACGGCCGTGCGGTCGATCGCATGTTTTGGACACTTGGAAGGTTGATCAATATTCCCTGCGGCCCCCAGTTTTGACCATGGGTCACCTTTCCAGGCGGGGGGCAGAAAGCCAAGTTGGACTCCCCACTCCCCGAACCATTTGCGGGGTTCCAAAATTTCAGAAAGCCAAAGCGCAAAGGAGCAATTTTGTTGCTGGGCTGGCTGACCCTTAGGCTCCACTTTTCTCTTGTGTGTGTTTTTTGCCGCCTTTTGGGTCTTCGGGCCCAATCAGGTACCTCTGAATTGGTGGTTTGGATTTGGATTTGAACCCTTGGTTCTTGTAAAGGGTACGTGGGGTTGCCCATGCCGGCACACCTAACCGAGCCAAAAGGAAATTGAAAGCTGACGTTTCCCTTACCCGCAACAAGCTATGTGAAAGATGGTGTAAGCCAAGGTAACCCTCCTTCCGGCGAAATTGGCCTCATTCCAGATGCATGGCTTTCAAGATGACCGCGAGAAAAAAACCAAGCCCCGCTGTCAGCCACCATTTCGCCGATTTACAGCTCCCAGCCACCGATGTTTTTTGGAAGCCCCAAAACATTGAGCAGGCGAGCCTGGGCTCCATGTATTTTTGTTTCTAAGCAACAACAACCAAGAAACCTGGGGTCCATATATACATATATATATATATATACATATATATATGTATTTGATTATTTATTTATTATATAATTGTTTATTTATTTATTTGTTTATTCATCTATTTGTTTATTTATTTGTTCATTTATTTGTTTATTTGTTTTCACCTTCTCTTTTTTAATCTTTGAGCAACGCAACCAACAAACAACACCCTGTGGGCTACGGCCGCGGGCTTCTTGCCTTTCGCCGGCTAGGGCCCACTTCCAGCTGGACACGAAGCAGTCGGTGCCCGGGCCCCAGACATTGGATCGCGTGGATCTGAGGCGACGTAGGCTTTGGTTTGGATCTGCGCGGGTTGGTTTGGATTTTCCTTGTCCATGGTTCTAGGGGTTGATTCCTGGTCCATTCTTTTCAGCCAGCGTTCTTTTCAAAGCCGGATCCGTTTCCAACCAGGGCTTTTGGGTGGCTTTCTCGAAAGATCCGGATGTCTGGCAAGAATGGGGAAGAGGCCCCTGGAATGTTTGGTGCTTTGACATCACCCATTGCCGTTTTGGCTGATTTTGGGGGAGCTTCCTTCCGCTTCTGGAGCCTCCGCCCCCCGGTTTTTGGTAACTTTTGGCGCAAGCCTCGGGAGCCCGAGGCAGTGGCAGTGACACCCAAAATGCGGCCCAGAACTGCCGAACTTGGTTCAACCGCTGGCCGTTGAACCGTTGAACCGTTGAACCGAGTGTGCGAGGTTTTGTGGTTCTGGGGGGGGTCGAACTGAGGATTCTCGGAATGAGATTTGGCCACAATCAAAGCCGACACAACTATAAATAGGTGCGGACCCCCGCCTTCATTGAACCAGGCTTTTGGGTAGACCGCTTCTATACCAGGCGCGGATATCATTGTTCCATGTTTTTGCCATTGGCTGTCCAACAGCTTCGGTTCCAGAAATCTGTTGGGTCCTGATATCCAACTCGGTCTCAGCTTTGTGGCTCTCAGCCATCCTCGTAGCTTCTTCGCTTTTTGGGCGTTTTTGCGGGGGTGTCCAAGTACCCCACTGAAAGTGATTCACTTTTGAAGCAGGGGATCTGAAAACGGACGGCCCAGCTAGGTCTTCGCGTGGTTTTTTTCTCCTCTGACTCGGGTGAGGTGGTGGACTGCGGTGCTGGTGCTCATCCTGCAGGGCAGCCTCTTGCGCGCCCGGGCCCTGTGTAGCCTTTTGGAGTGAAAGTTCCGATGTTTCAATGATCTTGGCGGTGCCTTTTGGAGTGAAAGTGTTTTTAGCCTTGTGGCTAGGTGAGGAAAGGAACAACATGGGTGCCGAGTGGGCAGTCATTGTCTCAGCAACTCCTTCTTCCTGTTGCGACTGGTTGGCAGCCCCACGCGCGAGAGATGCCATTCAGGAAGGGAAAAAGTAGATCCTGGCAAGCGAGTCCCTTCAGAAGAGCACCCTGAAGTCTCACCACATTTACTCCTCATGTGGGAGTGCCAAAAAAAAGGACGAAGTGAAAGTAGATGCCACACCTAGCCTTGTGGGTAGGTGAAGGGAAGACCTGAACCCACCTTTGGACTTCGCCTGAGGTGGTCGCTTACCTGGGGCTTCGCTTCACCAACCGCGACAGACAGATCTGAGCGATCGTCCGCGGATCGGATTTGGGGGCGCGGATCGGATCTGGGGGGGGGGGGGAGCTAGAGCTGCACGGGGTGAAGTGCGGGAAGGGGCGGGGATGCGATTGACTCTCCTGACTTGGTGAAGCAAGTTTTCAGGCGAAGGATTCTGCTGCCACCATCGCTTTTTCTGGCAGTCAGTCCTTCCTCTTGCAACCTTTCACGCCCTTTCCCCCGCCTTTCCCGCCCCTCCGGCGCCGGACCTGAAAAAAGCGAGCACCTGACGTGCCGGGTGACCGGGCGACTTGTGGTGCCTTTTGAAGAGGGCGCCACGGGGCGCGATATGTTTTGCAGCTTCGCGGATTTTCGTGCCGCGGCTTACTGGTGAGAAAGCTAGGCGTCCCTGGCCGCCGAACCACCCGCAAAGACATGTTGCCCTAAGGCTCCCGATGGAATTTTTGGGCCCTCAACCTGGGGCCGACTGTTTTTGAGGGCCCTTGACCTTCATTGGAGGGCCCGGGGGCCTGCATTGTAGGGTGCATGAGCCTTAGGGTGGGTCATCTCAGTGTTCTTCGTGAAGGCATAAGTCGAAGCCCTGGGACGCTGATTTCTCCGTATGAGTTAATGACCAGCCAATGTCGCTGAGGGAAATCGATGCAACCAATTTGGGGATTGCCGCGGCGAGCGGCATCTGTACGTCTTAAACGGCGCGGCCCTGCGCCTGCACGGTCGACGGAAGGTTTCGCTGCTTTGGGGCTATTTGGGTGTGGCTCAGAATTGAACAGTTAGGGTTACGCAGGTTTGAGTCTTTGTTCCATTTACCATGGGACCACATTGGGTCCATGTTTTTGAGCCACAGCCAGAGGGGCGTGTCCTTTTTTTGAGAGGAGGCCCCGAATGGTTGTTTTCCTTTTGGTTTCCTTAAAGAAGATACACACAAGGGCCGGCCAGAGCCTTTTTTAATGGGTCTCCAGGCTTGGAGGCTTGGCTCCTCTTCGGGTCTCTTGGGAGAGCCCGGATTCGGCAAGATGCCTGAAGTTGGGACAATCCTTAAACATGAATGCAGTGAAAGAACAAGTTTCTCAACACAAATCCTGGTTCCAGCAAAGAATAGAGCCTTTGTGATCTCAGTAAATGAAAAAAAAAAGAGAGGCTTTGCGAAAACAAAAATCTTCATGGTTCCAACTAGTTCCAACCTCAAAACCTTTGAGTTGTCTCAAAGATTTGATCGGATCGCCCTTTTTTCGTGGGCTTCGGTTTCAATCTCAGGCTTCCGTACGCATGGGAACCCGACCTTGGTGACGCAAAACGGGGTCTTGGGGCCCCGTTTTGCGTGGCTCGTCTTCTTTTTTTTTGGGTTTTTCAAGGGAAACCAACAGGAAACATTTTTTTTTGTTTGGGTCCCCCAAAGAGAGACCCAGATTGCGGTGTTTCGAAGTCTTTTACGGAAGCCAATAGGAAAAAAAAAAGTTTGTTTGGATCTTGAAGGAATATCACGGGCATCTTATCAGGGTAAGTCATCACGTGATGTTCGGACCCGGAAACCCGAAACCCAAGGTGGGGGTTGCCTGAAGGGGCATCCTTGACGCTGACGTTCTGTCCATTTCCGCTGACGCCTGGGAAGGATTCAACTTTTGACCGGTGACAATGCGAAAGAAGAAACAACAACTGCGCAGCCCGAAAAAAAATCGGGGCCCTTTTGGTGTTGTTTCCAAGAAACCTTGACGGACCCATTAGAACCCCAAGACCCCACCCCTTGAACCCACCTGGCACCCCCACCAAGCCAGTCTTCAAATCCGCTTCCATCAGCCCGGACTTGCCGGTTTTTTTTTCTTTTGGACCCTCCTTTGGGTCGGCTTTAAGGGGAAAAATGGGTTGGGGGGGCGTTTTTTTGGGTCGGTTTTCAGGGAAACCATCTTGGACCCCCTTTTGGTCGTTTTTAAGGGAAAATCTTAGTTTTTTGAGGGGCCAGTGCCAGGCATCTTCCACCGCAACCTGACGCCTTTCAATGCCCGGAGCGCCCGGACGTCGACCGGATTTATTTGTTTTCTCTTCTCGAACGACTGGCCACTCGGGTTCTACGGGCCATTCGGGGGTGGCTTGCTGACCCCAGGAATGGTGGCTGTTCAACTTTTGGCGTCCCTTTAAAGCCACTTTTCCCTTTCACTTCCCAGCGCGACGAAGTCGACTTCGTCTAGCGAAATCCTTGAGCTTTAAAGCCACATGAAGGGAACCCTCAAGAAAGACGCACGTGGGGCAGACCGACCTGTTGAAGGCTCCTATTCAGAGGGGCTGAAGGCTGAAAAGGATTGCAGCGGTTTCCTGTTAGCTTCCCTTTAAACCTTCCAACATGGGTTCTTGCTGACTCACTCAAAAGTCAAAACCCAATTTAAGACAAAGATCCGCTCAAGAGCCGGTCCCTCATATCTTAGACGCGAATCAAGCGTAGCAAACGCGTAGACACCCGGCAGCGCCGACGGCAAGCTTCTCGGGACCCATTGCCTGACACCAGTTGAGCCAACGCCCCTGGTTGTTGTATTGTTTTGGGTGGGTAAATAAGAGATACAGCCCAGTTATGAGGGTATTTGGATGACTTTTTGGGGTCCGCAATATATGAACCCTAAGGCTCATGGCCCCTACAATGCAGGCCCGGCCTTTCAATGAAGAAACCGGACCAATTCCTCAAGGGCCCTCAAAAACAGTCGGCCCCATGTTGAGAGCCCAAAAGCAATCGGGAGCCTTAGGGTATATGATTATGTGTGTATATAAATGACAATCCGGGATCGACAGTAAGCACGACAACATGTTTGACCGACGCCCCAGACGAAGCACGCAGTTGGGTATAGATTTACAAATAGAGATAAGCCCCGCTCAGCAATTGCGAAGTTGACTATCTTCTCAAGGGTTTTGATGCCGCTTTCCTGTGGTTGAAAGGCAACGGTTTTGCCACACTCAGGCCCTCTGCATCATAGTCCAAACACTCAAGACAGCGTTGAGCCGTTGCATCCGTGCACGTCCGCGCCTGGCTCTTCCCAGGGGAAAAACAGGAGGTGAGCAGAGCCCAGAACCACATTCGGACATGTTCCTTTAAAAGGTTTACAAGGATATGGTCTTCCTTTTGGTGTCCCCCCCAAAAAGAAGAAGGAGGAAAAACATGAAGAAAAACAACAACAACACAGAGAAAAGGGTGCCCTCGAAAAGAGACACACCCAAACGAACCTTTTAATCATGTGCAGTTTCAGCTTGTTTCAAGTGCGACGAGTTACGAGGGATCGCACTTCCAGTTCACGGTATCTCGCGTAGATCTTCAAGCCACAATGAAGAAACATATGTGCCAGTCCTTTGCTTTGGGAACCGACTCTTGGGATCGCGCAAAGACTGGAAGAGGAAGCCAGTTGGGAACACAGCCTATTTTTTTTGTTTCTGGGAACATAGCCAGCTGGTTTTTTTCATGGGTGGTTCCATGAGACAAATCCAACGTGCGCCTTTCGAAGCTGACCTGACACGAGTCAGATGCCCCAAGCACCCGCAAAAGCCAGCCATCCGCGTCCCCCAAGTTTGGCTCTCCTGTTCTGGAAGCTTCTAAACTCAGGTTCCCTCAGGCTCCCGATGGATTTTTTTTGGGGGGCCCTCAGCATGGGGCCGACTGTTTTTGAGGGCCCTTGAGGAATTGGTCCGGGTTCTTCATTGGAGGGTTTGCGGGGGCCTGCATTGCAGGAAAACAAAAAGGACATTAGGGTTGCAGAGACTGGTCTCCCTTCCTCTCAGTTTTTTTAGCTTCCCTTCTCCCGATGGCGTGCGCGGATCGACTTTGGCGCGCGGCGCTCTTGGCGCTTTCAGGAGCCGAAGGTTTGGGCGGATGGGTGGCAAAAACCGGGGGTGGTAAAACGTCTCCTTTTGGGGCCCCTTTCTTTTTTTTTCTATTTTATTTTTTTCTTTTTTTCCAGGGTGTTTTGTGGATCCAACAAGGTCCAAGGGGTCCAAAGGTTGGAAAGGGGGGACGACTGGGCATGGCCGCGGATTTTCCTCGAATATGGGTCAAAGGTGAACCCAGGTGATGCCAGGTGATGTTAGTTTGGCCAACATGAGCCGCTGAAATGGACATGTCGGAATGCCAGCATAGAAATCTCGGCTTCGCAGCCACTTCACAGTTTGCCATGCGGCTAACGCATTCGGGGCTGTCAAAAACAAATTAAGCCCCCTCGGTTGGGTGTGTCTCTGAAACCGTAGGCGCCCAAAATCCGGAGGGTCCCAACTCAGAAAGAGGGAAGGCGTCCAACCGTGCCTCAGGACTCCTGCTGCGCACTTGCTTTTCTGTGGCGGGCAAATCTTCTACCGAGGGCCGGCGTGTACGGGTGGGCATCAGCAGCTCGGATTCTGTGATTCGGAGGTGGCTCTGGGGTGGACTGTTGACCCTTCCCACAGGATGTTTCAATCTAAGGGGACAGTTGTTCCTTCGAGGACCTGCTTAGTTGTAAGTGACTTGATCTTTGACCTGACCCTTTCCTTTTCTCGAAGCACCTTGACACGACCCGCACGGGTTCATTTGAATTGGCGTGAAATTCAGTGATCACCCCCAAGATGTCAAGAAAACACCCAAGCTTGACACGCACCGACCAGGGGTTCCCTGACGCCCCCCCCAGACCACTCCGGTTTTCGAATCCCTTTTCTTCTTTAACAAGTGTTACTTGTTTGTCCAAGAGCGCTTTTCTGGTTTTGGCCCACATCCTAACCTGGAGTGCTTCTGAGTGGCGCGGCTCGGGGGAGTTCTCGGGTTTCGGGTTTCGGTTCTGGACGTTGCCACTTCTCTGGTCTATACGCCGCGTCGGGGGATTTTTCGCTGGAGGATTTTTTCTGGGCCAATCGATGGATTCCATTTGGCGCGCACGGGCTTGTTCCTTCGGCGTTGAGATGGTTTCTAGATCGGGGCAAATGGGATGTATACCCAACGATCATTGGGGATGGTATACCCACATATGTCCATATATTCATGTATATATATATATATGTATTTGCATACACATAGACTTATGCATATATATATATATATACACACGCATACGCATTCCCCCTTGTCCCATCCGCAAGACAGCATCCGGCCTTTGCCTTTCACCCCGCCGCAGCGCAAACACAAAAATAGAGGCGCGCGGAACGTCTAGGCCTCATGCCGCATCTCTTGGTGGTTCCCAGCGATTCGGCTCCTTAGGGTGTTTGGCGATTTTTTAGTGGTTTTTAGTTGGTTTAGTGGTTGGGTTCCAAATTTAACCTGCCAACAGTGATTCGCTTTTAGCAGGTTTAGTGGTTGGGTTTCCGAATTTCACCCGCCAAAAGTTGTTCGCTTTTCGCCGGGGATCGAAGGGGATCGGATCCTGGCCCAAGGCTACGAGCTGGAGGAGGATTTGGACCAGGCGGGTAAGGAGACTTCTCCGAGGGTCTTTGGAGGTTCCATGAAAAAAATGCCTAACAACCCTTTGACATTTGCATGGCAGCAATTTGCATAACAACATGTCCACAACAACAATTTGAGAAGGGTCTTTGTGAAACAACTCTTTTGAGCGAAGAACTTTGTGTCGGGGCTTTGTTTCGAAGGGATACCAAGAAGCATCCGAGCCGTATTTCCTCTCGGACGCCCACTTTTGGCTTGGATCTTTGGGCAAGGAGGTGACACCATGGAGATATGGCTGTGGGTCAAAACCAATGGTACCATTTTGGGGTAAGGGCGCCACCCATGTTTGTCATTTGTTTTGGTCGGGATTGTGATGTTCACTGGGGGCGCAGGATTTTGACCCATGGCCATATCCTCCCCCAGCCCCCAGGGGCGGCAGGCAGAAATCGGGACCCGGTGAAAGGAGGCCAATTTGGAGAGTGAAATGCCCGGAGATGCGAAACCAAAGAAAACAGGGTGATGGTTTGTCCTTGTTACCGTATTATATGGCTGCTTCAAGATGAATTTCCTTGTGGGTGTCTTTGTTCCATCGGCCTGGTTTAGTAAGTCCCTGGTTTATGAAATGGGTGTCCCGTTTCAGTAGAAAAGGGTTAACCATTTTTAAGGGGAACTTTCCCTTGCTGTTCATAGGAGGGGTTCTACTGGGATGTCGTCTACTTGGCCTGGAACCCACACGATAAACCCCTGTCTAGGAATAGGGGGTGTCCCCTTTCAGTGGGGATTCCCCTCATTTCCCCTTTCTATGTGCAGGAAGGGGGGTCAAGGGACATTTCGTCCCCAGACTTTAGCTCCCCTTTGTTTTTTTGGGGGTGCCCTTTGTTTTCCACCAACCAGGCGCAACAAGACTTCCAGCCTAGACATTTCAGGGCTGGGCTCGCGGCTTGGCGTGAGGTGAGCCACGTGGCTCAGAACCCGGTATGAAACTTGGTTGCTGTAACGGCTTTCCTGCAAGAAGCGAGCTTCACTGTTTGGGGGTGTTTAGTGGAAAACACCATTATTTCAACCAAAAAGTTAAACTCTAAAGATCCAACCCAATGGCAGTCCAGCAAAATGGTCTACCCAGAACCATGTAAAGAATTGAGAAGGCGGCCGCAGCTATTTCTGGTTGAGATCGACCCTTGCATCTACCCGGGTTTTGATTGTGACTCAGGTGGAGTTCAACCCGGCGCTGGAGTTCGTGTGCGGCCGGGGAGACGTGGTGCCGCAGATCGACGAGGCGGTGAGGACCATGCAGGCGCTTTTACGCCGCATTTTTCCGCCGGTTCCCCTAGTTTTTTGTTTTTTTTGGAGGGGGAGTTGTTGACGGGTGGGTGGGGTGGGTGAGTGGGTGGGTGGGGGGTTGAGCAGTTTTTTGTTTTTTTTTTGGGGGGGTGGGGTTGTTGGGGGTGGGGTGGGGTGGGCAGGGAGCTTTTCGTTGGAGAGCCCTGTTGTGTTTCTTCTTGTTTTATGTTTTGTTTGTGTGTTTGCGGAGAAGACTCGCTCTTGTCAGTCCCGGACCATTTGTTTGCCCCCCTTTCCTGCTTTCGGGAACCGCGGGTTTTTTGGGCCAAGAAAACTACCAGTGAGGCGCGTCTCTTGTCAACATCTTTTCAAAGGCAAATTTAGGGGCTCTTATGTTCGACCTGTTTCCGAACCCCAAAAGTAGACGGGTCAGGGTCTTGAACTCTTGGGGACGAGTCCGAAGGATATCTCTGGAGGTTTCCAGGTTGGTTTCCTTGGTCCTTCACCAAACCACCAATCCACCATCCCACCATTTCCAACAACCCAACAACCCAACCTTTGGAGCTGTTCTAGCCTCGCATGGTCGGGCTGCAGGTTGAAGCCCACCACGAGCCCTGGATCAAGGGTTACCTGCAGGAACGTAAGGCTTTCTCCTTTGGGGTGCAAATCCCCACCAAAGCAAGAGGTGGCAGGGTGACAGGCTAGGTTTGTTTGCCGTCCCCATGTCAGAATGTTGTCCTCCTCCACGAATTTCCTGTAGTTTCCGCTTGCGCAAACCTTCCAGCGGCCCTAACCCCACTCTTAAACCCACCCTGAACCCACCCCCCCAAGCAGTCATAAACCCGTAAACCCACCCTGAAACCCAACCCTGAAACCCACCCCGTTCTTTCCCCCGGCGTCTTCCGGCGAAAAAAGCGTCGAGCGGCTCGCTTCATCACCGCAGGTCGGGGATCGTCGCTTCATCGCCGGCGGCTCCGAGCCTTTGTTCGGCTGGCGGGACCCGGGCAAGCAGGCGGAACCGACCAACTCACGTCCCGAGCTCCTGGACTTTGGTCTCACTTTCTTTTTCAAGACCGCTTTGGTGGCCGGCAAAAAGTTCCAGCACTCTTTTTTGGAGCATCCACTCGGGCAGTGAGGCAACCAGGTGAGTGTTGCACTTCGACCAACTTGGATGGGTGCAGTTTTTCGGACTTAGCTGGGAGCTGGTGGCTGCTTTTTGAGAAATTTGCCTTGCGCCGTAGCTGGGGATTTATTCCAAGCATCGGGCTCCTTGGAAGCAACGCGTGGGTTTCTTCATTCTTTTTGAACCGTGGGTTTCCTTTTGGTTTCCCTTTTTTCACCAGGCGGTCCCCTTGGTTTCCCAACGGCCGGCCGGGACCCGGTCGGGTGGCAGGTGCGCGTGCCGAGTTTGGAGCCGGCGGAGCTGGGGGACGTGGTGTCCTTGGAGCTTGGCACGGGAGTGGTGCTGGAGGCGAATGGGGGAAGCCAGGGGCGTGGGTTTCATTCTGCTAGTTTCTATATGTAGATATGCATGTACATATGTGTATAAATATATATATATATATATATGTACATATATATATATATGTATATATATATATATCCCGCCGCCTTTTTGGGTCCCTATTTTGACCCAGGATGTCGAACAAACAAACCTGGTGGTGTCCCCATCCAGTTCGCTGCAAAATTCGTGAATCTTACCAACCTCAAAGGACAAGTATGGCTTTCCCAGTCACTTGCAACCAGTCGCTCTGGGCTCGAATCCTTCAAGAGACCAACCTTGTTCCCTTCCAAATTTTGCAGTGAATGCGGTGCGAGGATTCAATGGTTGTTTTACTAGGCCAGTTCTAGTGATGGGGGTTCAAGTTATGTCTCATGCGCATGACTCCAGTTACATGCAGTTTCTTGTCTGGTTACATCCAGTGATGTTTGTCGATTCGGAAGATGACCTTTTTTCATGCACTGGCAAAGAGGTTTTTGCAGGGGATCAAAGACCACGTTGCACACCGGATCACCCCCAATGATGGATTGGCCTTTGCTGTACTTGCAACCTTCTAGGATGGGGACTTAGTACAATAGGGCTTGGTTCAAAATGAGGGACCTCGGTGAAAAGGTTCAGATCCATTTGCCAGGGACATGGACACTCCAAATTTCAACCACCAGGGAGCTCTCCTATTTACCAATATGGGTAGGTGTCGCACGCGCACACGCGCGCGCGGGGAGCTCTCATTTTCCCATGTGCCCGCCAGGCCAAGGCGCGCAAACTGCCCAAGTGGGGTTTCCCCAGAATAGGGGCCCCTTTGTTGGATGGGTTTTCTTTGGGAACCAAAAGGAATCACCGCCAAATTGATTTGGAGGGGTCCATTCCCAATTTTGAGAGAGGACCCATGTGTCCCATGAAGCGACCTCTGAGCCGCAAATGATTCACAATCAAAACCCGGGTAGATGAAGGTTAGTAAGGGGCAGTCCCAGCCAGAAATAGTTGCGGCCGCCTTCTTAATTCTTTACATGGTTCTGGGTAGACCATTGTACTGGACTGCTATTGGGTTGGATCTTTAGACTTCAACTTTTTGGGCAATAAAGGTGTTTTCCACTAAACCCCCCAATAAGTTATTAACATTTTTTTTGCAGGGGGTCGTTACAGCAACCAAGTTTCGAGGTGTCAAAGTCTGAGATGCTGGTGGACCTGAACCATCCGCTGGCCGGGCGCCGGGTGAACGTCACCCTGACGCTCCTGGCGTGCGAGGAGTGGGGCCTGGTGGGCTGGTCCGCTCCAAGTGGGGAGGTGGGCCTCGGGTTTTTCTTCGGGTGGGGTCGGGCGAACATAGATCGGCCTTTTGCCGTTTGGGCGTTGTTTTGCCGGGAAGCCAAGAGGGCGGGGTTTTTAGGTGGAAAGTCGATGGGGGCCCGCGGTTTTCTGGAGTGGGCCCAAAAGGAGGATCGGTGGCTTTTTCCGGGAAACCAACAGGACACCACCCCAAAATGGGAGGGGGGGGGGTCCGGACAAGAAAGCTGGGGCAGCAGCGTCCCACAGAAAGCAAAACACCAAGCCAACCTTTTTGCAAAAATAAAGGGGGAGGGTCCAACAAAAAGAAGCGGGAGCAACCGCATAAACTAGCCCTGTTGCCAAACCCCATCGTCCAAAACGACCGCCTCTCTGAACGGCTAGGAGGTGCCGCCCAAAGACGTCGAGGTGCGAACGCTGCGCCCTGGGGATGGCAGGAGAAAAACCGACAGCCAGATCCGCGCTGCGTCGTTTAAAGAAGCAACGTGAGCTTGTTGGAACAGTGGACTTGCCCTATGACCCACTTTGGGGATTTGACGCGCCAAGCCAACTTACAAACTCGGTCAGGTTTAAACAATGGCCGCTTACGCCATTTCAACATGGGGGTTGGGCATTCCTGGGCTCTCCTCTAAAGCTATTTCACGTTGTAGGGTCGACTAATTTTTTAGGGTACTCACCTAAAATGTTGTTTTCCTCTTGGCATCCCTTCAAAACCACCAAACAATGGGTACCAACTCAAGTATGGCGCAGAATCAGACCGTCTGATTTTCGGTGTAATGTTGACCCTGGATTAATAACCCCCTGGTTGATTATCAGGGGGGTGTCCCCTTTTGGTGGGGATTCCTCACTTTGGAGGGAACCAGCCCCATAGTAATAAGCAGGGGTTTGTGAATCCGGGGTCAATGTTACCCCGGAGAACATCTCCCTTGGAGGACTTACCCCAAGTACGGCGATCGGCTCACGCTTCACGTGGAGACGAGCTTGGCTTCCTCCGGGGAGGCAAGGCCACCGGATGGGACTGGGTGAAGCATGACTGACTTTGATTCAAAATCAATGTCTTCTGACAGCTGTTGTGCTGGACCCTGATTAAGCTAATTTGGATCTCAGAATTTGGGGGGGAGCAATGGGGGGGGGCATAGCATCCTGTGATTGAACGAGAACCAAATTTACCTTCTGCAGAGGTTTCTCTCTGACAGGTCATATCGTCTACAAGGTCTGGCCAGCCGCTTCAATATCACCTGGGCTTCGACGGCAGCGTGCAAGGAGCCCGGCCAAGCTTTTGGACGGGGATGGGTGGTTGTTGCAGCCCAAAGCATCAAAGGGGACTTTCGAACATTTCCGGGGCCGGGATTTGACTACCCTCCACACAATCACGGAATCTGACGATTGGAGGGTTGTGGAAGACGAAGCCCTTCCTTTTGGGAATGCCCTGGAACCCACTTCCATGATTCTTTCCAACTGAGCTGCTGCGGCCTTCTGGACCAGCACTATCGGTTTACCGTTGCAGAGCACAATCTCACGAATTGGACTTTGGGTTCCGAAACGAATTGGACTCAAAGCCGTTGGTTTTCTTGGATTCCCTTTCACAACTTCTAGAGTTGCTTTGAATCTTTGACCGCAAGATGGGCTTCACGGCCAATTTTCGAGGCGAAATGGGTTGTGGGGGTTTGGGGGGGTAGAATCTATCTGAAGTGGGGCAATCCAGCAGTCCGTGATCCATTTGGCAGAGACATGGTGGGGGGCCCTCGAAATTTCTTCACCAGGACACTCTTCACATTTTGCCATACCCATATGGGTATGGGCCAAAATGAAACCACGGGACCACAGGTTTTAGTCCTTGTTTCCAGTTGTCAGGGATCCATTTTAGGTACCTATTTTTGACCCGGACCCAAATATAGAGGCAACAAGTGAAGCGAAGCGGCTCTGATTGCAGTCAGGATGCGAGATATCCCGGGGCATGCGAGCGGAGGGGTAGCCTTGTTCCTTTGGATGGAACATCCCTCCAAAAACTGTCCGGCTTGGTCGAGGCTGGTTTCGCCCAAACTAAAAGGACGCCAAAAACACAACACATTTGGGGGTTCCCTATTTTGAGACAACCCCACATTCTCCTCGTTTATTCTAGCGGAACATCCCCGCGTTTTTGGATCAGGATTCGAGATGGGGCTGCTCCAGGTGTCGCTGGGGGCGCTGGCATCTCTCTACGTGCCCGCGCAATTGGCCGGGCTCGGGCAAGGCTCCAGCTCCAGCTTCTTGCCCGCGAGTGAGGACCTGAAGTACGAGGTGGGGATGTGGTTGCAGTTTCCGATTCCAACGCGATTTGATTTGCACGGAGTGCCCAGCACTCTACGACTTTTTTGTTTTCCCCAAATATGAAGCTCCAAAGTGTTTCGTTTTTTTCCGAAAGAGCAGTCCTTGAGGGCTTGGTGGTAGATTGCCAAGCGGCCTTTGTCCAGACATTTTGCCCGAACAGTCACATGGGGAACACGGCAAACCGATCCAGGTGTTGACCCCCCTGAAGCGAGAACCAAAGTGCCTTCAGGAGGCCGAACTTGTGCTGAGAGGTCGGAAAAGGACAGCGCAACATGGCGCCCATGGCGCAAAAGAGGGGGGTGCCTTGGGGTTCTCACGGTTCGAAGCTCCCTGCAAAACCAAGAGTGTCCCCCATTTGGAGACATGGGTGTTTCCCTTTTGGGTGGGTTTTACAGGGAGTGCTTACTGGTTTCCTCCTGTTGGTTCACCATGGTGTTGTCGCCAATCGGGGGGGACCTCCCTTTGAATTCACAAACCAAAACCATGCCCAAAAGGGCGACCTCAAAATTAAGACACCCAAATAGGCAACCGCATGTCCGGAGATTTTGAACGGCTGGTCAGCCCCAAATGGGACATCTCATGATGCGTGTCCTTCGGCCAAACTGGTTCGACGAAACCGCTGGTGTCAGCTTTCCGATCTCGGCAATCGCCAGGTGGAGCTCTTGGCCATCGACTCGGAGCTGGAGCTCGCATTCTGAGTTTCGAGACGTCGATGCTGCCGTGGACCAGATCGTCGAATCCCCACTGGGAATCGGCTCCGTGTGTTGGATTTGCTATCCCAAGAGCCCAGGAGTCGCTGCGCTTCAAACTTTGGGAAGCCAAAGTTTGCGAAAGTTTGCGCGCTGCCTTGACGCGCCGCGCCGCGGAACGCGCGTCTTTCGCCGGAGCTTTGACGAAGCTGTACGCAGAGCGGATCGACTGGACCGGGTCTTCGACTTCCGACATCCGGCGAGCGAGCAAAAGCGAGCTGTCAAAAACACATTGTCCGAGCCATTCCGTTCTTTTTGGAACCACTTCAAAAGCGGGTTTCGTTTTCGATGGTTTCAGCGGAAACCACCAGTAAATTGACCGACTTTCCCGGGGCACTTCCTAAGTCTCTCCAGAGCCAAACACCCCTATGTCGCTGGCTCAAGCAAGGACAGGTCTTGCAATGTTTCCCTCAAAGGTTCTTCAACCCTTTTGAAGACTTTCGGAGGGTTTCCCTTTAAACGTCAAAGCACCAAAATTCAGGGCCGCCCCCTTTTTGCGTGGGAAATCCGCTGCGTTTTCCCCAGGTTCTGGTGGACCCCACAGGCCTCCTGAAGCTGTGCGACCTGGCCGGGCTGGGGGGGGGAGGGGGGGAGAAAAAAGTTGTTTCGTAGATCTCCGGAAAATGATGAGCCATTTTGCTTGGAATGGTGGAACATGCTCCCATTTGGGAAAAAAGTGATGAGAGAGGCGGACGGTGCAAAATGGTGTTTTTCGATTTCCTGGTCCATAGTACCAACGCCCATTAACATGATTTCCCAGAAGGTTACTTGATTACTTGTCAATTTTAGGGCGAACATACAGTCAGATGAAACGAGGCAATCCTTTTTACTTGGGGATCAACCTTTTTCAGCTTTTGGAGTAAGACTTTCGCAGATTCGGAGATGCATAAGATACTTTGACATTGACAACTGTGGCTGGGGCTCGCAGCCCTCTTGGTTTTGATGTTTGGGGCGGATTTAAAATCCAAACATTTTGGTCGAAAGAGGTGCCGGAAGTGAGTGGTACGTAGGCTCCTACTTGACCACTTCCCGAGTCCTGCAGCTCTCGCAATCCAACAAACATGTCCTTTTTTTTTGTCCATCCTTGAAGTTTGGTATCAGTCTGGTTGCGGTTGCTTCTGCTATGGGACTTCTTGGCAACCTCTCTATTTGAGGTTTTACCTGGAGGAGTCCTTCCAGGTCCTTTGCGGAAAAGTCTCAGAAACTCGCAGAGTCCAGGGCACAAGCCCAGGCCCAAATACTAAACATATCCGCTGGCGAAACCATTTCCTCGACTTTCCCTTTTCCAAATTCTGGGCGGGCGTTGTAGAAAGGATGGACCTCTTAACGGTATGGTTTTTTGAAGGAACTCAACTTAAAGACTCAATCTCTAGCCACATATGTGCGTGTGTTGCGTAAGGGTAGCCTTTTTGAGGTTGGATGAAAAGCGGAAGCAAGAAGCAAAGCAATGCCATTTTGGGGGTCCCCTATTTTGAGAGACACCCATACAGATGGCCTGAAAATTCTGGTCGTTTTGGTTTGCCTCCGAAAGGGTTCAAACGATTTTGGAACTTCCGGGCGTGAGAGGCCCATGGCCGTGCCATGGATCTGCCGCTTCGGGCCTACTCTCCAGAGGAGCGGCTGGTGGTTAGCTTCTTTCTTCTTTCTTGTTCCGGGGGGGTTGGGGTTTGGGACTTGGGACTTTGGTGGTTGCTCGTTTTTTTCTCCTCGTTTTTGGTGGTTGGTGGTGCTGGCGTGGCCAGAATCGGGGGTGACTGGAGACCAGCAAAGCAGAGGGCGCTTCAAGACGGGAGGTGTCGTTGGAGCTGGGATACAACACCCTCTCTGGAAGAAAAGAAGAGCCTTGTGGCATCTTGGCCGGTTGGTCGGTTAGTGTTGAGAGGAAGGGGGTTTAAAGTTTGCTGCAGGGAACGAGGCAGTCACCCGGAGGGTAGGTGGGAGGCCTCCATTTGCTTAAGAAGATTTGTTATTTCCCCTGTTGGTTTTAAGCGAAATCTGTCACTACTGTTTCTTTTTTCTCCCGTGGAGAGTGAGTTCGAAACATTCGGATGTAGAAATACGCATGCCTGAGCCTCGCCGCAGTGGGCTTGTCTCCTACACATCCTGGAGGAGGATGTTGTTCTTGACCGGGTTGATCAATATTCCCTTCAGCCCCGGCCATGACCATGGGGAACTTTGCCCATTTAGTGAGACATGTCGAATCTTTTCAGTTTGCCAACCAATGGTCATCCCCTGTAAAGGACCCTTTGATTAACCCTCACATGCGTTCCGGGGAGGTGCGCCAACATGTTGTGATCCTGACGGCTGTTTGCCTTGTTTGCATCGCTCGCCAAAAAGCCGCTAGTTGCTTCAGGAAAGAGAGGGCCGTCAAACCACCCGCGGAACGCATAACGCTTGACATATCCAGTACGATCAGGGACATGGGGGAAAAGACACCCATCCCCCCAAGCGCAGATTTCGACCATGACCACGTTCCTGACATGTTGGACCCCTTATGGTAGGCCGAGTTGCCGTACCCGAGGCTTGATTCATCCAGGGTTCATTGTGGTTCATATTGTCTCCTTCCGTTCTTTTGCAGTCATACGGGGGGGGCCCTTTTTGTTTATGGCCCAACTGTGGCTGTAAGTAGCTTACCCTGCCTCGTGACATTCTAGCTCCCAACTTTGCGTTCTTGCTTGGGCTCATGGCTTTCTTGCCTGCCGTTGGGTCCCCCATTTTGTTGGCCCAACTATGGCCCAAATATGCCTGCTCCCTCGCGGACCGAGCGAGGACGACCGCGTGAGGGATCAATCCACCCGGGAGGCGGTCGGTTTTCGATCGCCATCGTTCTCAAAGGAACACGTGTGGCCAAGAAAGGGCAGTTCTTCTGCTGGCATTTCAAGGGGAATCCATTGAGAAGGGCATAGCTCGGAGAAACATGTTTGGCTGAGAAAGTTGCGGGTGGCTGTTCAAGCAGAAAACAGCACGAACCGAATCCCCGTGGAGTTTTGCGACCCCTGGAATGGGGTGCGGGGTGGGGGGGGGGAATTCCCCCCTACTATTACCGAGCTCTTGGACAGTTGCTTGGAGACACCGAAACTCTAGGGGTACCTTCCATTCCCATTCTTTCCAGGGATCCTTCTTTTCAGGAAACCATCAAAAACTCAGGGGAAACAGCCGGTTCTTGAAAAGAACGTGAAAATAATGGAAAAGGAATCAACACCTAGAGAAACGCGCAGCGAAACGCCGTCGGCCTCAGAACCGCCGGATCAGCTACAAGGCCCCCGAGATCTTCCTGCGCCAGGCGAAGGGGTCTGGACCGAAGTTCGGTGCAAGAAACCCTGAAGGTTTTGTTGCTTGCCTGGACGACGGTTAAAGGACGCTTTCTGTGGACATGTCATATTTCAGGTGTTAGCAAATTTGGGGCCCCTTTCTTCTGCCCAAAAAAACATTTTGTTTCAATGGAAAGGCAGAGGAAAGGGGACCAAGCTGGTGGGTCCAGCTGTCATGTTTCAGGGCTGAGAAGTCGGCGGTTGCCGGTTTTGCTGTTGGCCCCGAGCTTGATGCGTCCCTTTGGTTTTGAGGGGCTCTTTGACCTCGGATCGGGCCGATCCGGTGCCACAAGCCGCCTCGCCTTTTGGCTTCCGATGGCTTCTGGAAAGGCTTGGTGGTCGCCTGCGCTCTGGAAGTAAGCTTGTCTGGTTTGTGTCAAAGCGTGGCGTAGCAATTGGGGTGGTGGGGTGGGGGGGGGATGTGTGTCTGTGTCCATATGATCCATGTGCCGGAGCTTCCCCAAACCCCGGCGAGTCGCTCGCCGGCGGTTCGTGTCGCTTGAGTGCCGATTCGCTGGCCACGGGAGAACCGGCTGTGAAGCTGCGGCCGAACCGTTCGTTTTGGGTCTGGCTTCTTCTATTGGTCATGGGCTAGGAGGGAGGGAGACGGGGGGAGGGGCCCAAATAAGCCTTTATGAAGGCCTTCATCATGCCTTATTTTGGACTTATTTGGGCTCCCTCCCCCTCCCCTCCCTCGCCCCCAGCCCCAAGATACTGGGTGGTTCTCTTGGTTGGCAGGTAAACTTTTTATTGGGGAAGGCAACAGGGGTGACGAAACTAGGGAATACTGCAAACACATGGCCGTGGCTCAAAAAACCGGTACCAAAATGGAACCCTGGTAAGTGGAAACATGGACCAAAACCTGCGTAACCCCTGTTTAATTTTGAGCCACACCCACATCTCGGATTTTTTTCGCGACACGCGAATTTTGGACCCTTATTCCAGGTTGGTGGATCAAAGCCACTGGTGTTCAGACTGAAATGCTTGTCGCTGGCGTTGCCAGGATGGTCCCTTTTTCTACCTTGGAGTCCTTTCAAGAAAGGTCATGTCTTTGCAGGGTTCCCTACTTGCGCCTTCTGTTGGTTGTACACAGAGGTTTGTATTTGGTTTTCTCCCTGCCAAAAGAGGAACAAGGGGATCTTTTCTTGTATTCATCCAAGAGGCCCTCCGCTATACCGAAACCACTAATTACCCCCCAGGGGGGGGGGGGGAAAAGACGGAATATTCGCCTTTTGCATATTGTCTTTGAAGTGGTTGTGTAAAATCTATTTTCCCTTGGGCGGTTTGGATGTTTGGATGCAGCCCCCCCAAGTCCATCCCAGGCGGTCTATGGCAGTGCCGTGGACGTGTGGCCGCAGCCTTAGATCCGAGCCAGCCGTGCTTCAACACCGGATGCAGCATGTTGTTTTGAGGCACAGGCTAGCCTTTTCAGGTTGGTAAAGGAAGGGAAACCAAGGGGACAACCAAAATCCATTTCAGGGCTCCAAATTCTACTTCGAGACATACCCACCTTGCGGCAAAGAGCCGTTCGAGTTGGATAGGTTTCAAGTCGTCCATTGGCTTCGCGTCGTGCGCGAATCGCTCTGCGCGAGTTTCCTGACCCGGAGTCTCTGGGTTTCGGCAGGTCGGTGGGTTGCCTTCTGGCAGAGGCCGAAGAGATCGCAGAGTTGGAGACCGCGGGATGTATCGTTTGGGGATTTGGATTTGAAGCCCTGGTGTTTGCAAAGGGTAGATGGTAAATCACCAAAGCACCAACCCAAGCCACCAACTAAGAGGAAGCTGATGCAGTAATTGCTGATGGACAAAATCCCGCAGTTTAGTTTGGAGGTCTAGATGTACACATATGTTTTGGCCAGAAAGCTACTTCTTGGAAAGGACCCTTAG